AGGATTCTACTCTTTGCTTAATTTGCAAAAGCAAGATTTTTTTTCCCCACTGTTTGCTTCCAAGTTTTCTATGACCATAAGAGGATCACATAATCTAATGATTCTGGCAATTGTAATGAACGTGGCTGTCAAATCTAGATTTGAATTGTAAATCAGAAAGCCATTTATGGGTTTGTGAATCGTAAGATTCAATAACAAACGAAAATGACATTATAAAAGATCCATGACATATTTCTAAGACAAGAGAAAAATGGTCTTTTACTGAAAAAAATAAAAAATATATGCATCAATTCATTTACTTTAGTAGTTTTAAGTCACTTAATATCCCTGAGTCTCAAAATTCAACATATTGTTCTTTGGTACATGATCATTCTAAGACAATAATTAATAAAATATCCAAAAGCTATCTTCTAACTAGTTAAATTACTAGGTCTCCTAGTGTTAATAACAATAATCCTCCTCAGTATCCCAGTTTTAATAAAAAGCAATCACCTTCCCCAATATTGATAACACCATTGTCATTCTTGATATCTTAGGCACTCTTGCTTTCTTTCATCCTTTTCTTTCTTTGTGAAAATTTACTTTATAATTTGTTTTAGTTTCAAATAGAAAGATTTATGAAAGAAAATTGTTTATATATTGTTGTCATCCATGACCTCGAGGCTTAGCAATCCTATTCTTACAATCTCTTTTAAATTTATGCATTTTACTTTTATTTTCTATTTGAGTTGACTTGCAAAATTGAATGAATTATGCTGAATCGAATTGAATCTTGACTGAATAGCATGGTTCAAGTACATCTGTGATTAGCCTCGTGATTCACATCGTTTTGTATGTGAATTGAGATGAATCTTAAGACTCTAACAACCAAACTAATGAATTCCCCCTCTCCTCTTTAATTAGCTGTGATGCCCACCAGCTCCTAATGGGTTAGTCATCTATGATGTGTGTAGTTCTACGATATTTTGATTCTGATCTCTCTCAGTTACACATTTTATGCTTTTAATATGTTCCCTCTATATCATTTTTAAAGAATCTTCAAAGAAAAATGAAGCGGACAAGTGATCCTGATAATTTTCAGTTATATCTCACCCTTTGAATTAGTGAATTGGTGTCATAGAAAATCAAGAGACTAAAAGTAAAATTTGCATCGTACACCATATTAAAAATAAAAAATGAAAAATTACATCATATTAAAATAAAATAAAAAAAGAAAAATCAGGATATCATAAATAGTTGTAAATGAAATCACAGAAGAATGATCTGCTTCAATTCCTAATTACTTTTATTCCATCCTCTATTATTTGTTTCTGAGTAGCTCCCAGGTTACAACTGTTCTTGTGAGTATTTAAACTATGTTGATGGTGATGATTTTGCTTTTGCATATTATAGAAAGATATCAGTGGAAGTTTATTTATAGCTGCCCATCACTCCACAATCCCTGTCTCATTACCTGCTTGTTTGGATGTATTGGGTTGTTCTTCTGTCATTTTGCTTGTGCTTTTCTTCTCTGTTCTGCAAATTGACTTGATGTGACTGATGTTTATACCATGTTTTGATTGGTTAGTGTTAAGTACCAGTTAAATAAAAAGACAATGGATGAAATGAAAAAGTTACTTAAGATGTGCACCAGACAAAGTTTACTTAAATTGGCTGAAGGGAATCCTTTATGTAATAGGTGAAAGTAAAAATCAGGTGGATCGTTTTGATGTTTAAATTCCAATCTGTCCTTGACAAATGAGTGATCAGTCTCTCTGCATGCATGTGCATGTGGATGAATGTGTCTCTCTCTTTCTGCCGTCTTATCTTCTGTTTGATATGGTTCTGCTTGCAGGAGCCCTTGCTGTTTATGTTGCATTCGAGGATGAAGATATTAAAGCCAGAGCTGAAAGGTTTTTGAGCAGTATCACAAATTCAATTGAAATGGTCCTTAGACGCAATGTAGAGGTTAGAATTATTTTTGTGGCAGATGGTCTGGATTCTCTGATTTATGCAAATCAATCTGAGTTACAAGAAGGTCATAGGCAAACAGAAGCAACTTTGGCAATTGAGAGGGGAAGGCAGGCTAATTGCTCTGGGGCAGTAGTTGGTCATTCCGATTTAGTCTCGGAAGAAGAGTCCCCAAAACTATCCAGAGGAAGCTTTAATGATGCCAATGCTGAAAACAATGGAGAGACGAAGCAGGAAATGCCTATGCAGAGAATAGAATCCATTATCCGTGAGCAGAGGTTAGAAACTGCCTGGTTACAGGCAGCAGAGAAGGGCACCCCAGGATCATTGAGTCGTTTGAAACCTGAGAAGAATCAGGTGTTGCCTCAAGAGGACACCTATCAACAAAATCTTATGGAGTCCATAGGTTCAGTGGCAGTGCCCTCTCAGAAATGGGAAGATGAATTAAATCATGAACTCAAAGTATTGAAGATGCAGGATCGGAGGGTGCTCCACAAGGACCAGATTGGTAAAATGGTGGATCATTATCCAATATCACCAAGCTTATTACATGGCAGCAGTTATTTGGGCAATGGAAGCAAAGAAAGCCTGTGAGTGTTGTGCAGATCTCTTTTAGATTTTCCTTGACTTAAGATTGTTTTACTAATTCTTTATGAGCCTCTATCATCAAAACCAATTTTGTTAGGCAGTTTAGCTTTTTCACATTTCGTGAGTTAAGCAGGTTAGCTTCTCTCAGGCTTCATAGTGCATTTCAAAATCTAATCTGAAGAAACACCATGCTATTTGATTTTTTTTTTTTTTTCATGGGTAAAACTTGCAATATTCATTTGCTTTATATTGAAATAAAATTAAATTTGAGGATAAAAGAGAATAGCAATATAGAATGGCGCTGCTCATCGTATATTATTGTTTCAATCCTTGTCTTCCTTCAGACTGTCATAATTGCTTTAGGGTTCATAAATTTACATTCTTGGAAAGGGGTTTTGTTATGTTTGTTTCCATATAATTAATTAAAATGTGACAAGGTATATTTGCTCTATGTATTAGTCAGTTTGAATTGAAACTGCTAATTGACACAAGATGATGGAAACAAGACTTGAATTATCAGGTTAATAATGGTTGTAGTTCACCTCCACTGGACCATTGTTCAGAAGGAACATTTTTGACTTGGCTGATTTGTTCATCGAATCGTTGACTGAATCATTTGAGCATATGATCTACTTTTGGTGTTTAGTTTAGGTAATTTTAGATCAGGAAAAGATGTAAAAGCTTCTGTCAGGCACTGCTGTTTCATCAATTATTACAGGAAGGTGGAAGATAGTCTAATGCTGATGTTTGGATAACATTATGCATCATTTTGTCTAAAAATAAAGTAAGATGAGTTGGTGGAGAGACAAGAAACTTGCAGTTTAAAAGATCATAGAGAGTTGTGGATCAGGAGTTGGAAAGAGATGAAATTATTTTCTAAGGACTGGAAGTTTGAATTCATTGGAGAAAGATTTTACAAATTATTTAGGATTACTGTAGCATATAAAAGTGTTAACTCTTTAAAGAGATTCCTCTGATCTACCCTATCTTTATTGTATAAAATGATATTGCTACTTGTCTTTCTTCCTCCATCATCTGTGTGTTTATATGGTTTTGGATGGTCCATTTTTTTGCTTGAATTGTGGAAAACATTTTCATAGAGAAGGAAGTGGAAGTGAATCAAGTCAAGATCTATGTTGTGATACATCAAAATGAATGTGTTCTGTACCTCTCAAAACTCTGCCTTTTTCTTCAGGGGATATGAATCAAGTTCGGCTGGTGGAGGTTGCAGCGGGCTTTTCTGTTGGAACACCAGCAGAGCTAACAGAGCAAAGGTACACTGATTTCGAACTGCTTTTGATTTTCCAAAAAGAAAAAATGGGAAACCAAGTATTGTAGGAATCGGATGAGAACGTGCCAATTGAGATACAACTCGTTTACAATTATCCTTGCTGTTTAGTGAAAGCCTGTTTGCCTCTCATTGATCATGTTTTATTTCTGCACCTAAACAGGTCAAAGGGACCCCTGTTCGACCTCAAGGCAGAAGTGGACGATTTTCGTTGTTCGGCGAGTGTGCAAAGCAAAAGAAATCTGAGAGCAGAAAAACAAGATAACTGGGACATTTCAAACACAATGCCTGGAGGAAAAGATGGTGTTTGGAACTTCACATATTTTTCTGTATTTATTGATTACTGGTTCAAGTCATTCTTAAGAATGCTACCACAGAAAATATCTAATGTAAAGGTTTGGTTCTTGACGTGGGGCATCTCTTTAGCTCCAGCAATTTTTCATTGGGCGAATAAAAGAAACTCAGGATGTTCTTCATGGTTTTCTTGGTATTGCATGCTTATTCTTTTTCTAACTTTTCTTTTCCTTGTTTTAGTTTTTTCTTACAGTTGCGGCCGACCTTTTTATTGACAAATTCTGCTAAGTTAAAAAAACTAAAAAAAAGATTTATATTTCAATATATAATTTTGATAGTTTGGTAATCTTAATTTTCATCATATAATATAAACTAAGTTACATTTAAAATGAAATGCCAAAATAATGTTTTAATTTAAAAATATTTTGATTTTAGAAACCAAAAGTTTTAGTAAATGCTAGTTTCTTTTACTTATATATAATTCAAAATAATATATTAGAGATTATAAACAAAATACTATAAAATATATAGTTAAATAACACATGAGTGAAGTAACATGCCAAAAGGCTACTCTTTTTCGATTGACAATTTTACTATTAATAAAATAGCTAAAATTATAAGAAATTAATGATACTCGAAATAAAACAGAGGAGAAAATGGCTCACTGCAGCTAATAATAATGTTTATTTGTGTTGAAAAATGAGCCAAACAAAATACAATCTTTTGCAGGCTAAACCACAGTTTTATTAAGCCAAAATTTCTCAAATTGTCTCCACCAATATTCAAGTGAAGCAAAACAATGAAATTGAAATATAAGCAGATTATTTCCTCCTATGAAAGATACAAAATGAAAACAAAAACAAAATTTAATTTTGACAACTCAAGTGTTCATGCTTAAAATTCTCTCTGCAAGCAACAAATCATCTGGGGTTGTGACCTGCAAGTCAAGGAATTTGAGAGTTTTTTTTTGTAATTCAACTAAAACTGCTTGCATTCTGCAACCATAAAAGAAAATTCACTAATGTTTGGAGGTTCGTTGAGTACATATTTCCAATACCTTGATGTTTGTGTATGATCCTTCAGTGATGTATACTGGATGCTTAAGATGCTCAACGATAGATACATCATCGGTGACTTCAAGACCCTCTCTACAGAATCACTAATGTCAGAATCCAATTCCTATTTAGAAGCGTTAATGAAAATCGATAAACTTGAATAAATATGGTTCTTAGGGGTAACATCTTACACAGAAGAATGCTCATCGCAAGCACAACGAGGAAAGATATACAAGGTTAATTAAGCTGTGTGCAACAAGTGTCAAATGAAGACAAGCAATGAAGCGGGAGTGTGAAAGAGAAGCCAGAAAAGCCTTATCTCTTTACCTTCCGAAGGATTTTATGGTATAATAAGTCCTATTCTTCCAATAGCAACCCTACGGAAGAGGAAAGCTTCACTTGGTCTTTTTCAGACAAAGATTTTCTTCCTCCAAAGAGAAAGATAAGAAAGAGGTTCAATTACTTTCTGCATCTACAATGTATACTCTCTATTAACTGGTAACTTTCATACTCTTGTATTGGTCGCCAAACCAGTATCAGGGTGAATAACATGGACCAAAAATGTTCAATTCGGCCATAATTACACTGGCCCTCCCCCTTGTTTCTGGAATTTCAGTGATACTTCATGCTGTCTCGGCACATAAAGACCTCAAATTTTCAGCGTTGACAGAATTAATCAGTGAGAAATAACATGGCTAAGTTTAGTCAGTATGGCTCATCCTAATATTAATGGAAGATCGTTTCACATTTCAAGCAGACTATAAAACTCTCCAAACCACCAAATTATCAATTCCTTGGAGACACCAAACCTAACTTGACCAAACCCTCTAACTATTAGCTATGAACAGATATAAAGAAACCAAGTTTCGGAAATATGTTTTCAACTAATTAACAGCTAGTAAGTTTTTATTTGCTCCTAAAAAAAACTCAAGCAGTCAGGTTTATAGAACCTCAAAATATGAACCATCATTAAAGGAAATTATCCTTTCTGACGACATTATGTTTACAAAAATAATAATTGGTGTCCAACTCAGATGCCTATCTATTGTTGTCAGATTAAAGGATATGCACAAAGTTCATTCAAGCTCTGCCGATAGATCCTGGATCATACAGACAAATTGATGCGAAATACTATTCCAAATTTTTTCATGCAATGTCAACACATTTAAGGACAAAAGAGCTTCAGGGTAACATTTACTTGAGAGATTTATAGCAACTGATAACAAATCAAGTACCTGTTCACCAGCTCAAAGCCTTTCTTAAGCAAGTCAGGTTTCATCACCTGTACACAAATATTTAAATGCAGTGGGATAAATTAGCATTCAAGTACTATATTCGAGAAAGTAAAAAATAAAAATAAAACTATGATAGGTTATAAATCCTTTAGGCAGTGAACCTGGGGAGTCTGAATTTCCCAAAGTGTTTTGCGGTCAAGAGTTCTCACTACAAAAGATTCACTATCTGCCTGCATAGAAATTAGGTAACTTACTATAAATTTTGTTAAATGTTAGGATATATAATTGATGGATATTTAATTAATGACAGTTTTAGTCAAGAGATCAAAGAAGCTAAAGAGAGTTATAAAAAGGCATATGACCCCATAAAGATAACAAGGCAGCAATACTAACTAACGATGTTCTTTTGGAATTAACTCTTTGCCAGAGCAATGAAAAGCATTTACACGAATAAAGTCCAAATATGCATGATCTTCTAATTAATCAATTCAAGAAGATGTACACTATGCACATAATGAAAATGGTTAAAGAAAATAAAACAAATAAATTCCTATTTAGCTGCTCTGAGAAAGCTACATGAATGACAGGAACAAAAAGCTCAAATCTCTCCGTATTTATTGAAGTCATCAAATAAGAATGCGCCCCAAACCAGTCATGCAAGAGGAAAAAAAAAGATAAAAAACCAGATTAGAAGCCATGACCAATCAGCATTATTTCACATGGTGCCTAAAATATTCTTAGCTATTCTCAACCATATCATGCTTCAAATATTTTTGTTCCTGTGCACAAACAGAACATACCAAATAATAATAATAATAATAAATAAACAAAGAAAAAAAAAGTTACAAGACATACATAAGCAACTTCCAAAGCATATTAAGTACCTCCTTGATTGTAGCTTTAACAGGAACACCAAGTACAGCTGCTCCATTTATCCAACCATCTTTAAGGACCTAGGCACAAGCAATTACCATTTACTTGGAAAGTCATTTATCTACAATTAAGTAATAGTATATATCCACAGTTGATGCATTCACACAAGGAAGTATTTTGATCCAACCTTTTCCACATCTGCCACCGAGACCAGAGGTCTTGCTGAATCATGGACGCAAACAAGCTCAGAGTTCAAATCAACTTCCTGTGTAGAAAGTGGCATGCAATGTTTAAAGAACAAATATTTCCAAACACTAACATGAATTATTGACTGGTATCAATCAAGTACTTTACAGTGAGACACACCAGAGACCAGTAAATCGCTCTTCTGTGAAGCAAATACAATGAAACTCACAAGTAGCTTAAATATGAAATGCTTCATAATGAAACAAGCTCTCCTAAAAAAGACATGTTAAGATATCTTAGAAGGGGAATCTTATTACATTTTAAATAAACTATGAAATATGTTTTGCTAGAGTACTAGCAACCCCGCCCCTCTATTAGCGATATTAGCAGTTTTTGTAAACCTCCCGTTCTCTACTAGTAGTTTGTATTAGATGTTAGCAACCATGCTCTTTTGGTCGGAACTATTTGAGCACATTTTTGAAAGCACACTCAAAAACCCAATAACATATTAAAAATACTTTAAAAACCATCTGGGAACAGTACACAACTGATAAAAAATCAAGCATGGTATGGAAAGGACATGGAACCTTTCTCAACCGAAATGGATTGAAGCAGCACCTGAAGCCCACTGTATACAGAATCTTGTCTCTCCTTTCCCGGCAGTGCAAATTTAAGGTCCACATGGATCTTTTCATCAGAATCTGAGAAAAGGATAAAAAATTAGTTTGAATCTCCAAGAACACAGAGTTTATCAACAACCCAAGCACAACCCATATCATGCAAAGCTGGGGAGAGAGAGAGAGATCTTGAACCTTCAAAAATGTCCTTGTAGGATGGATCACAGACTACAATAATTTCTTTCACTTCATCCATTTCTGAAAAAGTGTATAAACTGCCAAAAAAATATAGGCATTCATTTTCAGAAGTGAACAAGATATAGCCATTACGTTGCTTAGGTGCAAAACCTAGACTTGGTGAGCCAAACTATGTTACTTTTCAACCAAAAACAAAAGAAATAAACCCAGTCAAATTCAGGATACTCAGAATAACTAACTATTCATGATAATTTTAAATGATAATAGGGTGAATTGCAACTGCATGGTAGGGTACAGTCTGTCTTAAATAAGTTGACGAAGTTAAAAAACCATACCATTGTGTCTATTTCCACACAGATGGGGCCTTTGAATTTATACATCTGAACCTTTTAAATTATAAGATTACTTAGTTTCCAAGAATCTGCCCGCATAATTAAAAGCTTCCCACATTGGTAAAGGGAGTAAAAAGTAGTTAAAAAAAGCTGTTGCCGTTTACCTATACAAAGCAATTGGATGGCCAAGAAGTGGTAGATACTGCTTTGGCATGCTCGCCTAATCACACAAAGATAATAAAACCATCATCTGGAAGGTAAATTTAACCATAGACAATGAATGAAAAAACAGCAACTTCTAGATGTCAGAGAAAAAACTTCTGAATGTAAATATCTAATAGCATATGCCGCAAGATAAACACAAATGCAAACTTAAAAATGAATAAAATAATAGTGGCATAGTTAGCTCAGAAATGCAGGCATTCCAAAAGCTGAAAACCAATTGGTCGAAAAAATTCCATGAAGAATTTCCACAGTAGATTTATGATTATCTACGTTAGAAACAGAGGATTCAATACAGAGCAGAACAAAATGGCTTGTTATGCAAGGTCATGCAAACATGTAAGTTCCCTGAAGTGCTTTTGCTCTCATTTATGTTTTAAATGTTAAGAAGCTATCAAACTCGAGCCTATTTACACCTTATAGTAAAAAAAAAAAAAAAAAAAAAACGGAAAAAAAAACAATAATCTGCAAATTAATTATATGTTCAGAATCTCCCTGATTTCAACATAATGCATTATTATTATCGTTTGAAGAAATGTAAAATGCTTTATGGAAAAGCAAATGAATTGAACTTTAAAACTCCAAGAACCTTTAATTCTTGGCTGTGAGAGCTTCTAGTGACTCTCCTTTGTTGAAATTATTACCACTTAGTTGCATCATGTTCTCAGGCACAATATGAGCCACATCAAAATAAGCAAAGCAGCAGATGCCCTGAAACTTGACTTTTATATGAATTGGTGGATGGTTCTTTCTGGTCAAAGCACTTTTCCACAGATGAATAGAAGGGAAGGGGAAAAGGATGTAGCTTAACCCGTTTTGTTAAATTACAAAACAGCCCCACTGCTGACATAATGCAGAAAGCCAGTTATGATGGTTAGCTACATGAGTCATAGACTACTGGATCTAGTGACTTGGATTGAGAGTAATGCAAGGCCAAGAGGCAGACCAATCAGAAATAACCAGTAGATATGATGCATTTGGGATATAATAGACTACGAAGGTTTAAAAGAATTGTTCAATTTAGACATTCATCTAATTCAAGTTACTGAGCTAGACAATAGATGTAAGACAGTAATTGGCCTCCATACACATAATGGGAATTAACACAATTACCCACAGCTTACCGGATAAGCCTAAATGAAGCTAGAAATTAACAACCCATATTTCTAATCAGATTGAACTGAACTGGGCCATTACACACACAAAAGAACAATGATCGAAAAGAATCTTAAAATTAGAAAAAGGTTACTCGCAATCTTATAAGCAATCCAAGTAATTGGGAACTCCAACAACTGGGCTAAGATTACACATACAATCTCATTGTGACATATATCAAGCAAGAAAACAGAATAATTGCATTCTGGGATTAGGAGTGACAATGCCAGGCACATTACATAAACACACAGAGAAAATGGTTAACAGCACAAATTACTAAAGACATGCCATAATTTCGAGACAAGAAAGAATCAGAGGGAAATATAATAATAACAAAGAACATACACCCATTCTTTTTCCCCTCCCTCCAGCCAACAGAATCACAGAAACACTCTTCTGTTTAACAACTCCAGAGCTCTGAGCCAAAAAGACAAGAACATAGAATATTAACGATTACACTCCAACACATATTAAGAAGAGACTGTAAGAAAGAAACCCAAGTGTTCGAAGACTAGTTACATCTTCAACTTGAGCAGACCAGTAGGTAGTAAAAGTAGGGATTTTGGGCTTCTGGGTCAGCTTGACTTTATGTCCTGAAACCAAACTCCATCAAAACAAAATCAAGAACATCATTTATAAGCACGAAAGAGGAAAAAAAGAATGAAACTTCGGCTTGCCTGGAGATTGAAGGGGGAGATGGGAGTTGAAGTGAAGAGATGTGGAAGGAAGTGAGTGGTTAGTAGTGGATGGAAAGGTTAGATTTTTAAGAGAATTGAAAGGGAAAGAGAGAGTAGAGAGATTCATTTGAAGCAGAAGATTGTGACTCATTTCTCTCCCTCTCTCTCTGTCTCTTGGGTCTGTCTCGTCTAAAAGACTTCTCTTTTCTTCCAACTAATTTACCACTGACTACAGATTCTTTGAACGGAAACACCAACGTCAGCATCTTGCGTTTTCTTGTCTTTACTTGGTAGTAATCTCCTAACAGAAACTAGATTTTTTAACCGTCGTGGATAATATAAAACATATAAAATTATTTTATTTTAATATTCTATGATATATTTTACGTCTATCAAAATACATCAAATTAAAAATAAATAAAAATATATTTAATTTTATAATTTTTTTAATCAAAATTTTATATTTACTGATTATTCTTTATATCTTTTATAAATTTTTGATTAAAAAATATTATTTATTTATCTCTACTCACAAACTAAAATTTTTTAATAATATAAAAAATGTCAAAACTAATGGATTTTTAGCTAAAAACTTATTTTATAATTTTTTAAAAATATTTTTTTGTCTTAAATTTTTTGATTAAAAAAATCAAAGAAAAAAGGACCAAAATAAAAAAAACAAAGAAAAAAGGACAAAAGTGATCAAAATAAAACAAAAGAAGAATCAAAACCAAACAAAAAATATTTGGATTGAAAAAACAATATTTACAAAAGGGACTAAAATGTAATGTTACGAAACTTTTCTTAAATTTTTTGATTAAAAAAACAGAGAAAAAAGGACCAAATTAAAAAAAAAGATCAAAATAATCAAAATAAAACAAAAAAAGAAGGATCAAAACAAAACAAAAAATATTTATGAATTAAAAAAATAATATTTAAAAAAGGGGATCAAAGTGTAATATTACAAAAAATTTCATAATAAATATTTAAAAAATATTTGAAAACTATAAAACCGCTACGCATAATAAAATGAATAGTATATCCGAGTATGTGTAAATAGTGAATTCAATTCATTTTTATACAATTGGCAAGTTCCATTATTCTTTTTTGTTTCCTCAAAAAAAATGAATAAATGAATTACTATTATTGATTATTCGCTTTAGAATAAATTTATAAACCGATATAAATATATTTATGATATTAATTGCTGTATCTATTGACTATTGTTTTAGAAAAGTGATAGATCGAAATCTGTGATAGGAGCAATCCCAATTGTTTTTACAACTGTATCTGCAATTTAAAACTATGATTTTAAAGACAGGTCATTGAATTGCTTGGTTACAGAAAGACATGCTGTCACTGATCCATTCAAAAGCCTAGACAGATAAATAAAATTGACGATAGTTTTAACTTCCATTCCTAAAAACAGAGTTAATCAACTCGAAGGCACAAACATCTCCTGCCTGCAGAGAAGTTTCTGTTGCAAATTTAGCCCACCCCTCAGACAAGCTACCTATTCTGAAAGAGGAATGGCTGACCAACTTCACCGGCCACATCCCATCTGCTACTTGAAGCATTACTGTCTGTACTTTATCCTTAAAATGTCTCTCAATAAAGCTAAATGGTACAGGCTGCAAGAAAGGGTGACAAAAATGGCATCAGATACTAGTTGATGATGGTACCGACGACAAAAATTTCAAAAGCAGCAGGAAAAAAATGCTATCCTGAAATTCATAATGGTGAAACAACATATCAGTAATGCTTCTAGGAATCAAGGGAGCTCGTTTGATTTTTTCTACAAGAATATTGCATGTTTCTTAAAAGAGAGTGGAGCTTCAGCATATGTTTAAAAACCTACCACGCTGTAGTTCTCCGAATAACACGATCCCAAAACAACTTTAAAGAAAGGATGTGTCGAAGTGAAGTTTCTCTCTGCTTCAAAACCTCCAGCAATCAGTCCGCCAGGAACGTTTTCATGCTCAGGTTTCTTGAACTTGCCTGCATGATACCAGTCAATGGATGAATACTCTCCTGCTTCTCTAAACTAAGGATATTGAGAAGTTCTCAGCACTTAACTGCCTCAGTTTTAAATTCTGATTCAGAAAGTTGAGGTTGAACTGTTATATCTTCATCATAAGGGCTTGAAATTCTAGCCTCATCCATGCCATTACCATCAGATTCAGTTTTATCGACCAGGCTTTTGTTGGGTCTAACTTGATTAGCTTCTATCGCATCAGCTTCTGCAGCGATAGTTTCATCACAAGGGCTAGAAATTCTAGCCTCAACGATGCTATTACCATCAGATTCAGTTTTATTTACCAAGCGTTTGTTTGGTTTAACTTGATGATCTGAAGCAGCCCCCTTTTCAGAGATTACGAACTTAGTACAGAATAAGAGAATAAAGGAAGTAAAGAAAGAAAGGAACAAGAGGAAGAAGTTGGGAAATAATCTTCATGCCCCTCCTCTGTATTCATCATTCATGTCTTATAGTAAAAACTCATAACAGACTTGTAACAAACTATGCCAGCTCTGACAAACTGCTAATGATTATTATTCTTTACACGAAGTCTGATAATTTTGCTGGCCTCTGGATGTTTCGCCTGGTTCTTCTGGTTTCCTGTATTGCTGGACCTTCTTGGATGGTATTTGGGCCTGCATCATGATCTCCTCTCATGTCAGCTTCTCCAGCTATAGTTTGATCACAAGGGCAAGATTTTCGAGCCTCGTTGGGGCTGTTACCATCAGAGTTATCCACCAAGCTTTTGTCCAGGAGGACTTGAATAGCTCCTCTTATGTCAGCTTCTCCAATTATATTTTCATCACAAGGGCTACAAATTCTAGCCTCAAAGATGCTATTACCATCAGATTCAGTTTTATCTACCAAGCTTTTGTTTGGTATAACTTGATGATCTCTTCTCATGTCAGCTTCTCCAGCTATAGTTTCATCACGAGGGCAAGATTTTTGAACCTCGTTGGGGCTGTTACCATCAGATTTATCCACCAAGCTTTTGTCCAGGAGGACTTGATTAGCTCCTCTTATGCCAGCTTCTCCAGTTATGGTTTCATCACAAGGGATAGAAATTGTAGCTTCATCCATTCTATAACCATCAGGTTCAATTTTATCTACCAAGCTTTTGTTTGGTTTAGCTTGACGTGCTCCTCTCATGTCAGCTTCTCCAGCTATAGTTTCACCAAAAGAGCGAGATTTTCGAGCCTCGTCGAGACTGTTACCATCAGATTTATCCACCAAGCTTTTGTTTGGTCTGACTTGATAACCTCCTCTCACATCTGCTTCTCCAGTTATATTTGCATCACAAGAGATAGCTTCATCCATTCTATTACCATCAGATTCAGTTTTATCTACCAAGCTTTTGTTTGGTTTAGCTTGATGTGCTCCTCTCATGTCAGCTTCTCCAGCTATAGTTTCGCCAAAAGGTCGAGCTTTTCGAGCATCGTCGAGACTGTTACCATCAGATTTATCCACCACGCTTTTGTTTGGTCTGACTTGAAGAGCTCCGTCAGATTTATCTACCAAGCTTTTGTTTGGTCTGACTTGAAGAGCTCCTCTCACGTCAGCTTCTCCAGTTATAGTTTCATCACAAGAGATAGCTTCATCCATTCCATTACCATCAGATTCCGTTTTATCTACCAAGCTTTTGTTTGGTTTAGCTTGATGTGCTCCTCTCTTGTCAGCTTCTTCAGCTATAGTTTCATCACAGGGGCAAGATTTTCGATCCTTGTCGAGGCTGTTACCATCAGATTTATCTACCAAGCTTTGTTTTGGTCTGACTTGATGACCTCCTCTCACATCTGCTTCTAAAGTTATATTTTCATCACAAGAGATAGCTTCATCCATTCTATTACCATCAAATTCAGTTTTATCTACCAAGCTTTTGTTTGGTTTAGCTTGATGTGCTCCACTCATGTCAGCTTCTCCAGCTATAGTTTCACCAAAAGGGCGAGATTTTCGAGCCTCGTCGGGACTGTTACCATCAGATTCAGTTTTATCTACCAAGCTTTTGTTTGGTTTAGCTTGATATGCTCCTCTCATGTCAGCTTCTCCAGCTATAGTTTCACCAAAAGGGCAATATTTTTGAGCCTCGTCGAGGCTGTTACCATCAGATTTGTCTACCAAGCTTTTCTTTGGTCTGACTTGATGACCTCCTCTCACATCTGCTTCTCCAGTTATGTTTTCATCACAAGATATAGCTTCGTCCATTCTATTACCATCAGGTTCGGGTTTATCTACCAAGCTTTTGTTTGGTTTAGCTTGATGTGCTCCTCTCATGTCAGCTTCTCCAGCTATAGTTTCACCAAAAGGACAAGATTTTCGAGCCTTGTCGAGACTGTTACCGTCAGATTTATCTACCAAGCTTTTGTTTGGTCTGACTTGATGAGCTCCTCTCACGTCAGCTTCTCCAGTTATAGTTTCATCACAAGAGATAGCTTCATCCATTCCATTACCATCAGATTCCGTTTTATCTACCAAGCTTTTGTTTGGTTTAGCTTGATGTGCTCCTCTCTTGTCAGCTTCTTCAGCTATAGTTTCATCACAAGAGCAAGATTTTCGAGCCTCGTCGAGGCTGTTACTATCAGATTTATCTACCAAGCATTGGTTTGGTCTGACTTGATGAGCTCCTCTCACGTCAGCTTCTCTAGCTATATTTTCACCACAAGGGATAGCTTCATCCATTCTATTACCATCAGATTCAGTTTTATCTAACAAGCTTTTGTTTGGTCTAACTTGATCAGCTCCTCTTGCATCAGCTGATCCAAAGAAGATTAATGAAAAGCCGTCAGATGGATATACATTTCTTACCCAACTAAAATAGAGCATTCAATTAATTACATGATAGATTCCTACTCACTCAGTAATAGGCTGTCATTCGCAAATTCAGTGGCTCGATAAATGGCAACTTGGAGTGTAATTTCAGTGGCTTTAATCAGCTCAAAGACACAAACATCACCCACTTCCAAATTATTGTCAAGCACAAATGCTCTCCAACAGCAATGTTCAAATCTGGCTCTAGGGTTTTTATTAAAACACGTAATGATGTACTTAGCAGTCCATGTTCTCCTATCAGAAATCCTAAGGATGACAGGACCACGCGTTCCCTTAAAATATGTTTTTGCAAAGTTGTAAGGTATACCCTGCAAAAAAACAGAACAGAAAAGAAATAGAAAAATCAACATGGCAAGGAGTTTCTACTCCAACAGAAATAAAAAGGAAAAAGCTTAAAGCATAAGAACTAAAAGAGATTAAATTTACAACATGACGGTAACCCTTGAACAATCCAGTAAAATGTTCAGCTGAGAACTTACAAAGCTCTTTCGAAGACGAATGTTAGACGGCTGCATCACAACCATGAAAAAGGGATGTTTCGGTTTCAAAGCAGTGTTAGCTTTACAAAGAAGATCTTCTTTTTCATCAGCTGTCAGTGGTTTCATCCTTTGCTTTTGAATAGATATGTCCCTTTCACCTCCTAGAGTCCCAAAAAAAAAAACATAAATAAATAAATCTCAAAGTCCTCCAGTTGAGAAGCAAAACCATCACGAGACAAGGACAAGCAGCAAAAGTATGACAAGACACGAGCCTTCAATTGATCTCCAGAAACGAAAATATGGTGTCAGTCGAAATTCTAACCTCCAATTTGTTGTGTGAGGTGTAAACATGGTGATTGTGGTTTGTTTTCCTTCATTCTGACAGATCCATCACCAGTAGATGCAGCTGAAGTTTGCCCCTTCGTAGAGCCATCAAATTTGCTAGTTAAATCAGTCCTAATCTTCTTAGGAGGGGAAGGGCATGTTAAGATCTCTTCTGTTTTTGCACTCGGGGTTAAGTCTTCTTTCATGATATCAACAGCTACATCGACATCTTCACTGCTTTTTTCCATTCTTTGTTCTTGAAGTTCTTCCATCCTTTGTTCTTGAAATTCTTCCTCAACATGAGGCTCCTCATCACCATCGATTGTGCTGAATGGATAGTCAATCTCTAAAGCAGTCTTATCAACTATGAGTACATGAAAAAGACTACTACTCTCACATTCAAAAACAAGAAGGGAACCGGCAGATAGCGAGTAATTCTCTGCAAATTCTTTAAAACCATTTTGGAACCAATACTGACCATCGTCCTCAGTCTTGACCAGCTCTACTTTCCATTTTGCACCTGTAGGGGCTTTCAGGATTGTTATACTTGAAAGATAATCTCCATATCTTTTCACAAACTTCCCTGGAATTCTCTGATAAAAGGTGCAAAACACGTCTTAAGTTCTGACAATATCCAAAATGGAGAACAAAACCAAACCAAACCAAATGCACATCCTGAAATTAATTATTAACCAGATCAAAATGAAGAGAGAAATATACACCAAATTAAACCCAAAAAAAGTTCTGCATAATTTGCTCTGCCATGCCATGTACAAAAAAAGTTCCAAAAAAAAAAAAAAAAAACACTTACAAGCTTCCCATCATCGACAGTTTCTTGGAGAATTATCTTGAAAAAATGGGGCCTATTTTTCTTGAACCTGAAGAATCCACTATCGCTCTTGCAGATAGAATCAGCCATTGTTAATTGCATAAACTATTCACACATAATTAAGGATGGTTTGCATTGTCTACCCCACAAAACAACTTCTACCAACAACAAAAAAGAATAACTTAAGTATTGTTAGTACAGTTTTAATAAACCTATCTCCCAAGAAAACTACCAATGTCTTGCTCCAAAAAACCCTAACTAAGAAAAATAGAATTCAACATTAATAGAGTCGGCTACTGAAAACTATAGTACCATATAGGAAAAAGAATTCCTGTCTTACTAGGAGCCTTGTCGACAAGACAAATCAGATTGATGTGGCATGCGTTTTTAAGGCATCCCTTGCTCTCAAATAAATAAAAACAAAGCAAGAGATATATTTTGGTGAAGTGACGTACACCTTAAAAAACCATGTACTTTCCATAACATAGTAAATACGTTTGTATCAAAATTAATATTTGGATTCACCGTAAGAACAAATATATATATATAATACATTAATTAATTAAGACCAAAATCACCCATATACGTAAGCTGAATGATTTTTGTTTTTTAGATAAATAAATCAATTTGTTCTTATAGTTACCTTTTTAATTGAATCTATTATGCTTTTAAATAATATTTAATTTTCTAATCTATTCTTTCAATTAATTTTTTTGATCATCATCAAATATTGACCAAAAAATTCCAAAAACTTCAAAAATAATAATAATAATAATCATTATTATTATTATTATTTTGTATTGTGGGGAAAAAGAGCTAGCAAAATGATTTAACAACATAACTATAGAGTCGGATATTCTTTTCAGTTGATATATTTTTTTAACGTAGTATTAAAATTTTGTTAATGATCAAAAATTCGAATCTTATCATCTTTATAATTTTTTAATTAAATAATTAAGTATAAGATAGTAATAAAAAATAAAAAGTAATATAAAACTATTACGGAGACTTAACCTAACCTATTATTAAGCTTTTAGATTGATACGGTTATTTAATACTAATATAATACAACTAAACATGTTGATAGTGGTGCCATAAACTTGTCATGATCATATTTAAAGCATATCCTATTTCAATCATTTGTCAAGAAATCTAAATTACATGAAGTAAATAACTGAGATATACATAGCAAAAAAGAGAAAAAATGATCACCAGCTTTCCTCCATGAAGAGAACCCTCAATCTCTCCAATCTCTGTGCCTTATCAGCTTACTCGAACAATACAGAGTACATATATGGTTTATATAGGCTTAATAAGAAAATTCTAGCAGTGACTTCACAAATCTCAAAGTACTGAACTTGATAATATTCATTGAGCAAGTTTAATATTCAACAAAAAATGAGGTGGTTTTGCCAAAAACATCAAGAGCTTTTTTTTTTTTTTTTGGGATAATTATAATGAGTATAATATTCTCGAATCAACTTTCACTTCAATTGTAGATAAATTCACCACTTTTTAAATTAAATTAGCACTGTATCACGTTTAACTTTTGATGGATTTTAAAAACCGAACTCTTTGAGTTTAATGGCAGTATATATCTAATGCCACTCAAAGGTGATGGATGAACTTTCCAAAAATGTTTTCGGTAAGAAAAGACACTACTTAATAGCAATTACATCAGTCATCAACCACATTACTTCATCTTTATTACATCTGACATAGGCTGTAAGAAGCTAATTGATATTTAATTTTGATAAAACTAATGAAAAAACAATAATTAGTGCAAGATCTTGGTAGCAAAGGAAGTTCATTTTAAATCAATGATGTCTTCTCTGTATAAAAGAGGCAAGGACTCTTAGCTTGTTCAATCACTAACTTGGATGGCCATTGGCCTGTGTCTGTGTGAGAGCAGTTTTGCCATTTTTCTGAAAAGACTTCAATTTGGCCTCAAAGAACACTCAAAATGCCAGTCTGCCATTATTCTCTATCATTGTTTTCTTGTTTGTTCCTCTTTCTGTATGGAAAACTGAATTCTCTGCATTTTAGGACTTCAGAGTAAAAGTTAATGGTCCAGTTCTTACAATGGGGTTCGACAAAGCTGAGTGTTTCGGCTAAAGAAAGCTACACAGTGATCCATTTAAGAGGACAAAAGAAGAAGTAAACAGGAATTCTCAAAAACATTTCTTTGTTCTTTATGCATCCATGTGACCACAACAAAATGCTTGCTAGAAAGAGAGACGTGGGGCAAGATTTAGCGACGACTTCTGGAAATTGAAGCTTTCAGGATACCACTCTTGATCATCTCGAAGGCGCAAACATCTCCCATCCGTAGAGAATTTTCTCTTGCATATCTTGCCCAACCAGCAGATAGCGTAGCTTTTCTTCGAGAAAAGTAGATGATCAACTTCACAGGCCATGATCTATCTGCAACTTGAAGCATAAAAATCTGATTTTTTTGCGTAAAGTACCTCTCAAAGAAGCTGATCGGTACGGGCTGCACAAGGTATGGATAGATTTAAAGTATTTGTATAGAATCTTGGTGCAAAGTACGAATTAAATATCTAAAAGTAACAGATGCCCTGGACGCAAAATTTCTAAGAAATGTTTATCCTTCTCCAGCATTATCAGAGCACTTATATAGACTGTTCCAAACTTATACATGAATCTTAAAAACAGGCATGGTAGAACATGTTGACGAACCTACCAAGAAGCATTTCTTGAGATGATATGACCTCAGAACAACTTCGAAGAATGGATGTGTTGGGATGAATTTGCTCTCGGTTTCAGAACCTCGAGTATCCAGCACAGGCACAGCAGAACTATTGTTGAGCTCGGATTTCCCAAACTTGCCTACGTAAATTTTAAGACAAAAGATGAATAAGAAGTCGTTTCTCTTAACTAAGTGTCTGAGAAGTTCTCAGCCCTTACCAGGTTCAAATTTAAATCTTGATCCAGAATGCTCAAGTTCTTCATCATCAGGGATAGAAATTACAGCTCCATCTTCGCTATTCCAATCAGATTGAGGTTCAGCAACCGAGCTTTTATTTGGTTCAACTTGATTAGCTGATCCTTCCTTATCATCTGATACAAGCAGAAATCAAAAAGCAGAGTCAGATGAAAGGAGCATTTCTCATCAAAAAGTAAAATAGATCAATCAATCACTCAATCAATGCATCAAAAAAGAAAAAAGGATAGAGGGAGCTTCTTTGCTCACCTGATGACTGGTGACTCTTTACATCCTTCAGGCGAAAAAACACAACTTTGAATGACATTTCAGTAATATTAATCAGTTCAAACATGCAAACGTCACCAACATCCAACTTATTCTCCTCGGAAAATGCCCTCCAACCATGAGAGAATAAGACTCCAAATTTTTGGTAATTGTAGTACTTAACCGGCCAGGTTCTCCCATCTGTAACACAAAGGGTGGCATTCCCATGGTTTTTGGTGAAATACTTTCGAGCAAAGCTGGTTGGTACAGTCTACAAAAGTTTAAAAAAGTTGGAAAGACATCAGAAAGATAACCTCACTCTCAATCAGGAGAGGAGAGCACAAGTTTAATAATCTGTGTGCTTCTTCCTCTCTGTAAAAGTATTGCATATCCAAATTGGAGCAAGCAAAACACAGCCCATCAGGTTTTCAATTTAAACTTGAAAGCTTACCAATCCATATCCAGTATGAACATATGATGGATTCATGTTAACCTTGAAGAAGGGATTTTCAGATTTGAAAGCACCGGTTCTCTGTAGAGCTTTAGCTTTTTCATAGCGTGTCAGTGGTCGCATATTTGCAGTAGCTCCGTTATGTGATAATCTTTGACCCGTAGCCATTATCATGCCCCTACCACCTCTGATGGAATCTTCCTCTAATAAAATTGAAGTAAAATTATGAGAAAAAAAGCGTATGACACCAGCTTGTTTTCCAATCAAAAGGACAACATTAACTAAAATCATATTGCAATTTACATTACCATCAAGTCCCCTTGCAGAACAATCCGACTTCGCATTCCTCCTGAAACTCTCTAGCTTCACCCCCTAGACCGAGTGCCTATAGGCGGAACCACTACCGAAGTGTTTAACTTTGAACAAGTACCAGTTTCATAAGTTGAATAGGTTCTCACCCTCTTGTGAGGCTGAAGACATGGTAATGGTGATTTCTTTCTTGTCCTTTGCGATGGTGAAAAGTGGCCTAGGATTTCAACTGAGCTATTTTCTTCAATTCTTTCTTTCTTGCACTCTTTTAGCAGTCCACGACCAGACTCCTCACTATGCCTGCTACTGAGTAGATAATCTATCTCTGTGGCACTATTGTCAAATATGAGGACATAGAAATCACCATTTCCTTCATATTCAAAAACAAGAAAGTGGCCACAGGCTACAGAGTAATACTCTGCAAATTCTTTCCAACCCTTTTGCAGGCAAACTTTGCCATCAGAATTTGTCAACTCAATGGGCCAAACCTTACCAAGGAGCTTAAGGCGTGCCAGATTTTGGAGATCTTTCCCATAATTTTTCACAAACTTTTCGGGAAGCATCTGAAACAAATACCAAAGGAAAAATGACATGTATCTTAGTAGCATGCATGAAATAAGTTACAAATACGTATACACTAAATTCACCCTTCAATTGGGATCTTGGCTAGTTTTCCCAGATCAAAAGTGTGTAGAGCAGAAAACAATGTGATCTCCAGAGAAAGGAGGTGGAGAATGATCATGGGTTTCCCACTTCACATCATTAACCAAAACCCATTATTTTGATTCCTGCTTAAGTTTTGTTCTAACAACTACCAAATAATATTTAACATGCAAAACCTACTGGAAACAAAAGAGAAAAAAGAGCTAACAGGCTGATGATCTACCAGCATAATCGCCAAAGGATCACAATCTAGAACAACTAATTAAGTTCGTCTCCTTTTGTTCTGCTCATTACCTATTCCAATCATGCCAAGAAATCCAAACATGCAAGCGATGCCAAAAACAGACAAAATTAAAAAAAAAATGGCTCACCAGTTTTCCCTGACGAAGAGAATCCTCGAGAATTATCTTGAAAAAATGGTGTGGTTTTGCCACAAACATCAAGGGCTTACCACCACCTTCACTCATTGCAGCTCAAAGGTAATATCACAGTTCCCTCTGTTTATACACAAATAGCCAATACAACTGATCGACCCCATAAATACAAACCACTGCATGCTTGTGTGGTCAGTGGGTGCATTGTTAAATTAATATGCTCCTACCTACCTCCCTTCCTTGGAGCTTCCTGTCTTGCTCTAACTTATAATGAATACACTCTCTTAATTATAGTCTTTAAGTTACAAATTCAAAATTAATAAATGGATATAATTTTAATAGTCTATTAAATATACTATATAATGAGGGGTAGGATAAAGGTGGATTAAACCTATGATCCTATCATGTAAAGGGTTACCTCTTAAACGCTTTGCTGTAGAAAAATTTTGATAGATGATGTTTTAGGGTATTTTTGAATTACAATCTTAAATACGTATATTTTATATCAGTATGGTGTATTCAGAATTGACTTTAAAATTCAAACTTAAAAATAAAGAAATTAAACAAATTCTCTAAACCATCAGATTAATCCTTTAAAATTATAGCATGTGTGATTTTATTTCTTCTATAAAATACAATTTTTTTTATAAAAAAAGTGAGTAATTTTTTAATATCCAAATCAAAACAGGGACTTAAGCCTTGGTAACTTCTTAAGAAAAAATGAATGCATTAAATTCAATAAAAATACCAATTTTCTAAATCTAAAAAAAGTGAGAATATATATATATATATATACATGAAAACGTAAACCACAAAAACTACATCTTAAATAATTTGTATTTCTAAACTCTATGAATACAACGTATATTTATACACATGCCTATGCTACTATCAAAGAAATTAAATACAAACAAGAGATTTTTGTTACATAAATCTTAATCTTGAAAGATGATACGAGAAATTCCGACATTAAACCAGACTTTAATAATGTTGAAACATCATATGAAATATTTTGACAGAAGGAATGTGATCGTCAGCATCAACGAACATGTGTCAGCATCAACGAACACATGCTTTTGATTCCTACTTCAATATTTTTCTTGGTCCCGGCGCTATTGATCAGTTCATCAACTCCTTTCCAGTCTCGACCATAGTTGTGTTTGAAATAGCGGTCGTGCTCTGATTCTATGTCGATATATGTTCTAATAAAATTGTAAAAAAACCAACCAACATAAATCCAAATTCCTATTGCAAAAATCATGGAAAAAACCATCTTTATCATTTTCATGACCGGCCGGAATTTATTGCAGGGAATGCAGGGAGCAAACAGAGCTATGCTGTCCAATTTCTTTCCAACCTCTTCAACAATGTCTTGAATAAATTGTGACTCGTGCCTGCATGCAACTCAGAACCAAATAAAAAGTTGGAAACAGTAGTATTCAAGCATGTTAAAACAAGTTTGGAGCAGCAGCCAATAGGTATAATTTGGATGGATTTAAGGACGGAAAACCTTAAAATTAGAGAATTGAAAATTTTTAAACATTTGAGAGTAAAATTGATACAAAAAATTATTTGGTAGTAACATTAAAACTACACATTCGATTGAATGATGCTTCTGAAGTTTGCCCAAAATTTATAGACTCTGAGAGAGTAGTTTGTGTTACATTTCTAATGGGCTTTTTTTATCTTTTTTTTTTTTCCTTCAAAAACTTCTCTTCTTTAACTTTTCAGGAAAATAGCTCAGTTTATTCTTATATAATGAGATAAATATCTTATTTATTTTTATATTTTAAAATGAATTAATTGTGTTTTTGTATATTTAGCGAGTTTCCAACCGACCTTTATGATGATTTTTTTTTTCCTATAAAAGCATTAGAAAGTGTTACGTAATTTACACATGATCAATTTTATTTTTAAAAAACTCACAAAATGAATAGGCATGTTTGAGTTAACAATCCATCACAATCCTTTCTCCAACCTTTTTCAGAATCCAGTAAGGACAAGCACCAAACTATTTTTTTTTCTTCTTCTTCTTTTCTCTTCTCTTTCTTCTTCCCCTCCACACCTCCAAAATTTTAATCAAAATTAAGGGTGTTCATTCGGTTTTTCGATTCGGTTTCGGTGTTTTTTTTTTTTTTTATAGTTTTCAATTAATCAAATTGGCTAAAACAAAAACCAAACCGAATTGATGTTCGGTTTTTCGGTTTGATTTTTCGGTTTTCCGGTTAAAAACCCTTCTTCTTTTTTTCTTCTAAAAATAGAATTATTTTGCTTTTAAAAAATATCAAATTAAACTTGCATAATCAAATATTGCATATTTCACATTTGATTTTATAAGAAAATTATGTATGATTATTATTATTATTCTATAATAAATATGTTTCTATTTATATTATAAACTAAATTAGTTGGGCTTCTCATTATTTTTTCAATCACGCTATAATTGGTTTTTTATTAATTTTTCATATTCTTTTTTTAATCTATTTATTTTGTGCATATTTTATTGTTGAATATATAATATGAAAAATCCAATTTTTAATTTATGTTTGTGCCAATTTTAATACAATGAGATAATTTTTTTTTCATGAGGTTTTAGGATTCACCCATGCATAAATTTGTGTTTTTATAAAGAATTTCTTTATCATAGTTTTTTTTTTATTTTTTTGTGAGTCAATATAATATAATCAATTATTTTTTATTTCAATAAATAATTAATGAAAAATATTTCTATTTTAAGTAGAAAAAAATCATTAAAGCTATTGTTCTTTTAGTTAAAACCATAGGTGCCTCTTTGATTTTTTTTCTTAAAAAAAGAGTTTGGGTATGTGTTTAAAAAAAAAAAAACTAATTCGGTTTTCAGTTGAACCCGAATTTAAAAAAAAAACCGAATCAAACCGAAATAATTTTGGTTTTCGGTTTCGTTTTTTTTTTAATTTTTTTAAAAAAAAACCGAACTGAAATTGTTAATTCGTTTCGGTACGGTTCGGCATTTCGATTTTAACCGGATAGTGAACACCCTTAGCCAAAATTATCTCAAAACAATCAATACTATCATTTTTCCAGTCACCCTTAAAACCTTAATTTTTGCGGGTAAAACCTCTATATTTCACCTTAAATCATAACTTGCATATCTATACTCTTAAAACTAAAAACTGACATTTTCCAAAATTTTCCTCACCTTTTTCTAAGCCAAAATCAAACACTAATATGTCAGTCTATTACCAGACTCACCCCTTTTCTTTGTTTTTCTTCTAATTTTTAACCATGTATTATCTCAAACATTCTTTAACCATCAAAACTAGAGCCTGAGGCTTAAACTCGCAACTTTCCACTCAAAAACCCCGCATACTTCACGTTCATCTGATTTGCACAATTCCCTTCATTTGAAGAGTATTTTCAGAATAAAATTAGTTAAGTGCAAATCACATAATACTTTCTAGTGCTTTCATCGAAAAAAATTATCAAAATAGGTTAAAAATTCACTTAATATATAAAAAAATAATTGACTCGTTTTAAAATATAAGGACAAGTTGAACATTTGTGTCATTATACGAGACAGATGGTACAATTTCTCCTAAATTTTTCTCATCACAAATTTCAGTTTGTCGGTTTTCCTTGCAATACAATTACATTCCCTTCTGTAAAATGTTTAAAGCTTAAAATTCTAGTTTTCCATAAATAATTTTTGTTTAATCAATTCACCACTTCGAGTTCCCCTAAACCAGTCTCTAACTATAAATAGGAAATTAATTAATTGATGAGACCAAGAAGTGAAAAGAATACCTATCTTGTAGAACCATCCCTCCCAGGTATGCAACTTCTTTAAGTGTTGCCCTCCATCCCTCTACCCTCTCCATCTCACCCTGAAAGCAATCTTGGTGTCTAGCAAAGGCTTCTCCATAACTCCCTGTCTGCTCTCCAACTTGAGACGGATCCACATCGTAGAAAACAGGCAGAACCAGATGACCGGCAGTCCTGTGCCGGTCCATGATCATCACAAGTTCGTCAAGGCACCATGTGGAAGAGGCATAGTCTTTAGAGAGGACAACGAGTGACATTTTCGATTCTTGGATTGCCTTGTCTATTTCTGACTCGATGTTCTCTCCTCTCTGGATGTTATTATCGTCTCTGAATGTGTCGATCCCGGCTTTGGTCAACGCTGCGTACAGGTGATCGGTAAAATTCCTGCGGGTGTCTGCACCTCTGAAACTCAAGAACACTTGATAGGTATAATATGGTGCAAGATCCATAGATGAATAGTAGAAAAATGGGAATTTTGAGCAGCAAGAATTAGAAGAAGAATGAGAAAAGGGATAAGGGAGTACTGCAATAACAATTAATCTCTAATGAAAAGAACTCATTGAATTAGTCGTTCATGCTTAACTTGTCTTCTCTATTTGTCGTATTTCTAGGATGTTTCCTTACAAAATATAAACTAGGACCATATATCGTTTTCAATACAGTCTCGTGGTAATGCCCATGCCGACCAATAGAGAAAATTGCAATTTTGGTATTTAATTTTTTGTTTTATCTTTTTGTTTCGGCATAAATCTTGCTGTAGACAACTCTGTTCCCTCTGTTCTCTGAACTTTCCACGAAACAAGTTCACTGCAGGAGGAGGATTAATTGCATGATCATTTATATATTTATGGATTAATTTTAAAATTAAAAAAAAACATAATAATTTTAACTAAAATATTAATGAAGAATTTAAACAAACTTCAAAAATATAATTTTCATAATATTGTATTCTCAAAAATAAAATTACAATTAATGGACAGATTTTTACAAAAATTATCAAATGAAAAAAAAATTCTTATTTAATGTTGATGAGAAGATTAATTTGTGAAATTATCCGCGTAACGTTACAGGTAGATACAATAAAATAATTTAAAAATTTATAATTTTTTTATTAATTTTTTATTTAATTATTACTTGTTTTGTGTGTTTTTCACAAAATTTTTACTTAAAAAAAATTTATTCTTTTTTATTCATGGATTCTTAAACAAAAACCTGAAATAATTTAAATCTGAAATATTAATTAAGAATTCAAAAATAAATACTTTTTTATAAGAATATATTAAAAAAAATTTTAATTAATGTATAAACTTGTATAAAAAATAACCAATGAAAAAATAAAATTTTATGGTTTTTTTTTTTTTTTTTTTTTTTGATGAAAATGAAACTGGGCCGAAGAAACAAGACAAAGAGCCCAGACCAGAAAACCAACAAACCCAAATAATCCCAATAGCTTCAAATCAGTGAGGCAAATTCTGAGCTGAGTGAGAAAAGCAAATTGAAGAGAAAGGCAGAGAGAGTCGAAAAGAAAATGGGGAAACCATTGGGACCAACAGGAGAGTTCTTCAGGAGAAGAGACGAATGGAGGAAGCATCCGATGCTCTCCAACCAATTACGCCACGCCACTCCTGGCCTCGGCATCGCCCTTGTAGCCTTTGGCATCTATCTTGTTGGAGAGCAAGTCTACAACAAGATTTATGCTCCTTCCTCTGATCACCACCATCACTCCTCTTCTCACACTCACTGATTCAGCCACACGTATAACGACGTCGGTTTGAGTGTCTTTTTTTTTAGGTAAGATGGTTTATATATATGTATATTAATTTACTGGTGGGTTTTGTGATTTATATCTGTTTTGATGTTTCTTTTACCGATTTGTTTGGTTTGGATTTGAAATAATGGGTAGATAGCAAATGGTTTTTAAAAAAAAAAAAATTCTATGAAAAATTTAGGTTCTTTTTGTGCGTTGTGATTGATTATGGTGACGCAGTCTTTTACTTTTTTGGCTGGGTTTGTTAGTTTACTAGAGATTTTTTTTTCTATTAATTGGAAATTAGAGCTGGTTCTGATTTGGGTGCATTTATAATTAACTATCACATGAACTATTAGCGTTTGACTTGTGATTTTGGTCTGGGGGTATAAATGTTTGAAGTATCTTGTCTAGGAAATTTTTATTTTACGGTTTCTTAAAACCATTTACTTTTATTGAAAGGGGTACTTTTTTCTTTGTTCACTTGCCTGTTTTGTCCTTTTCTTTCTTTTTTTTTTTTTTGGTCGTGATGTGAAGTTGGTTCATGTGCTCAAAACTTTGGGTTTTTATGTAGTTTTTATTGGGATATCACATTAATGTTGGCAACTTGAGGAATCAAGAAGGGCGTGCTGTTGGATTCTATTGTGGAGAGGTGCTCGTGATGATAATTTTCTGTACCTAGGCTCTATTGTGAAAAGGGAAGGGCCATTAAGGAAGATCTTAGCTATAGAATCAGAATATGATGATTAAAATGAAGAAATGCAAATAGTGTTCTGCGTCATTTTGTACATACAATTAATTCCAAGTATGAATTTATGAAACCCTGATTAATTCAGCTATGCTAATATGCTCTAAGAAAGTGACTGCTAGGCGTTAACAATCAATATATTTATGATAGAGGCAGTGTTGAGATGAGGATATTAAGATGAATGTAAAGACATGATAGGATTTATTATAAATTATTTCACCCGTAAGAGTACAAATGCTGCAAATCTGGATTCAGAAGGACCCATTGAGTGAAACTTGTTTGTTTCAGACTGTGTACCATTAGTGAGGTAAACTTATAAATACACCATACTGTTAAGAGCGAATAGAACAAAAGTAGGGTGAGCAAAGGTAGAAAGAGAACAGAAATGATATGGGAAGAGCGAGAAAAGGATTTGGTGTCATGGTAGCTAATAGGAACTCTGTTCCTAAGCTTAACATAATCGAGAAAAAGGATCCTTGTTGTTTGGTACTGGAACTAGGTTGTGTGTAGTTTGCATGAGAGTGCTTTCCCATTTTGAGGTGGAATGGGAGGTAATGCTTTCTGATAAAATAGTAGGGCTAGCTTTAGTTCTTTTGATAATTTTCTTCATTGCATGCATCTAACTGACGTAAGTTTGAATTGTAATTCAAAGTTAGGCTGCTTGCCTTTCTTAAAGTTACAGTCGAGTCAAAATTATGGCTCTTTACAATAAACTTATTGAGCGAAAATAAAAATTAAATTCTTTAATTTTTTAAGCAAATAGACCTTATTTTAGGACTGACGTTTCTCTGTTAAATTGTAAATAAGATTTGACAGAGGGGTTGGATTACCTCACGTGGATGCAAAAAATTGTGTGGGTTAACCAAGATATACTACTAAAGGATAGAGGGTCTGCTATTAGCAGTACCGATCTGTTCGATGTTTCTTTTACTGATTCTGTTGGTTTGAGTTTGAAATTATTGTTAGTCAGCAAATGGGTATTTCTTTCTTTCTTTCCTTCTTTCTCTCTCTCTCTCTCTCTTTTTTTTTTTTTTTTTTTTTTTTTTTGAGAAAAATTTAGGGCCTCCTTTTACATGGTGATTGATAATGGTTGTGTAATCTCTTGTTTGTTTTCGTGGGTTTGTAGCACACGAGATTTTGTTATTACAACTTATTGGAAATTAGAGGGATTTTGGTACCTAGGGAATTGGCTTTTTCTTTTCTTTTTTGGGTCAAAATTCTACAGTTAGAGTAATGTTATAGCTTGCTGCTGTGACTTGGGTGTGAGTTTTTTGTTCTTGCATTTGTGGCAGTTGAAATTGTTCCATTGGGATTTGGGATAATGGGTTAGAGTGCAATTCTCCAAAGATTTTCTCTCTTTTTACTGTGCCAAATCCTGGTTCTTTTACCCTCAATTATGTGATGGGTTATCTATCATACTTACTAAATGTTGGCTGTGGTGGCTTACTGCTTTTCTGAGAATTATGCATGTCTTTGAAATGTTAAGATTTCTTTGATCATTTACAGTTTTACTGAAATGAGTATGTTTTAGTACGCTGCTTTATCTATTTCCCCTTGTGTGATGTCATGATGTGTATGTGAAGTAGTACAAATGGAGGAGTGTGTTGTGGAAGATGTCATCCGTGGAAGTAAAATAAGATAGTTAAAACAGGGAAGAGTAACTACATTTTTATATGATTGTAAAGTTCTTGTTAATCTGAAGGGTAGTTTAATAAACCATAATTAAATTGGTTATACTCTTACATAATGAGCTAGGCACCAAACATGCAATGTATTCATGAAATAGGCAGACTTGAAAAACGTGGTTAATAAGATGGACTTAAAAGAATACAGGAAAGGAGTGGATAGCAAGTTACAGTTCAAAGTAGTTGACCTTTGAAGTATATAATGAATGGTTCTCCGGAGAAAATGTGGAAATGAGTAAATTGGTTGTTGCTTGATTTTTTTGCAAATTACAGTTCTGTTATGTATTCTTCGCTACAATATACTGGAGTTAATATTGCAAAATATAAGGATGAGTTATTTTAATGTCTGGAAATAGATAGGATATACTAATTGAAAGACATTTTTCTGCATTAGTTTACGTAGGATTTTACAGACTTGCATCATCACCTCGTTGTGATTCCCTCGGTTGACCAAATGCCTACTAAAACAAGCTGGCACCATGGTACAGAGGGTTTTCTTTGATGTATTCTTGGAGGGATTGCTAAATTAATCTGTTTAATTTACTATTTGTATTGCCCTGAAATGAGAACATGTTTTGATGGAAGACCTGCTAAAGCTATGCATGCAAACTAATTATGCTCTGAAAGCCCTCTTTTTTTGTTTAATCTTTGGAACTTTCAGGTGGTTTTGGCAAGTTGATTCGTAATGGACGACTGGTCTTGCAGATGGATGTTTGCTGGGAGCTTGAAGCATGGACTGCATGTTAGACTCTTGTTTTAATTTTCACCTCCATAATTTGATTCAATAAGCTTGGTTTCACATTGAGACTTGGGTCTGATAATTTTACTTTGTATGTCCAGTTATGGATCTTAGACGGTCGAATATGTTTGTTTGCTGGATGATCATGTTGGTAATTCAACTATGGCCTATGACATTTATGTCTTACATGTATCTTGTCTTGAATAAGATTCACCAACCCCCCACCCCCCACCCCCGGCCTCTTTTTTTTCCTTCCCTTTTTTGTTTGCCTGAACTGCGTTCCTTGGTGTTCTTCGATCATTTTAATTTAAATGATGTATTTGGAAGCTGCTTGGTACGGGTACACATGGTAGGCTGGATAGTATTTGACTGGACTGGACAAGCTGTATGGTTTTTGATCCATATATTGGACAAGATGGGAATAGTGTTTGCTATGCAGGATAAGGATTAATATTTGTCCTGTTCAAAGTTATTCTAAAGGAAAAATTCTTGTCTTACCATGGGGATGGAACAAGCTTTCTGTAAATCTGGTCTTGGGTCATCCCCATCAAAAGTACAAATTTCATTAGTTCGTAGCTGCCTGCCTTCGTATGAGACTCTTTGTTGATTAATAAGTCGATGCAAAGAGTTGGTAATGAGTGGACTGAGAGTTCTATAACCATTTCAGATTGTGGGGGTTTAATTTGATTGCTTCGAAGTGTGAACAAATTGGAGACCTGATCAAGGATATTGTTGAATACTCGTTCATGGGGCTCTTGAAGAGCAAATATGTCCATCGCCCGATAGTAGCCACCATCTACATGATTGGTGGCATTGGAGAACAACCATTGCCAAGGCAGTTTACGCAACTTTAACTCCAACAGTTTTGAACTGAGCAGCTTTCTTGCTAATGTTACAGAAATTTCAGAACAATCCAGTGGTTTGGTGCGTCTGCAAAGGAAACTTCATACTGATCTCCTGAAGAGGAAAGAAAACAATCTACAGCACAGGTGAAGGGAAAATCAAGATAAAGATATTGTATGCTGCAAAAGAGTTTTTATTATTCTGCTACGTACTTGTAATTGAAATTTGAAGTAGGAATTGTAATCGAAAAATCAAACGGGAACAAAATACAACTGAATTTCATCATCCATGCTGCAAGAACCACAATCAAACACAAGCAAGACTCTCAATATAGTGAAGGACCTTAGCTTTCAAGTTGTTGCTATAATACGCTGATCTGAGGTTGAACCACCCAATATTTGATCCTTCGAAGCTCTTATCTTTTAAGTTATATTTACGTATAATTGACAACCAATTTGCATCGACCAGGATCAACGAGTCCTTGTCATTTCCACTCCCAACAAACAGTACATTCCTGTACTCGTCAAAACGATCAGGAAGATCAAGGCGGTACTTGAGAAACCATCCCGAAAAGTCTCTATGCAACTGGTAGACATCAATTTGTGGATCTGAAGCAGTTTTATATTTGCGGACAAGAAGCAATCGGCCTCCTCCAGACACTTCAAAGCAATTAACCAAGCTGCTCTCACATGATGCACGAGCACGAACCCGTGGCATTTGCAGTGTTTTCAGTTTCTCTTGATCGATATCGAAGTATAAATTAGAACCACTCCAATCTTCACTACGGAAACATAAATCAGAAACACTCCAGATTTTACGAAAACATCCGACATCACTACCCCAATGAATGGTACCGTTGTAAAAGACACCTCGAAGAAAATCGACAGGATATTGTGGATTGAAAGATCTGACCGACACCCTCCATGTTCTAGCTTTTGACGAGTAAATTTGTATCTGATAACAATTTTCAAAAAGCACGCATTGGCATACAGCCACAACTTTGTACTCCAGTGATTTTGAAGGATCAAAGGCTAAAGTAATGCCTCGCAGAAACAGAATACCTCGCAATGAACAAGGCAATGGAAGCAGGGGAGGAAGTAAAGTATATTTCTTGCTAGTAGGATTCCAGACACAATATTTTTTTGAGGTGTATATATCATCCTTCTTTATATAGAATCTATGAAAATATTTCGGGGGAGGGCTATCATCACAACACAGTAATAATCCATTACAAGATTGAAGGATTTTAGTTTTCGAGAACGGTTTATTGCTTGCAAAAAAATTGGCTGCTAAAGAATCAGAATTACTGGAATCAAGGTTCAAAAGACGAAAATGGGGTGTTTTGTCAACCTGGACCAAGACGGCGCCGACAGAGTTGAGGTTTGAACTACGTCGAATAGAGAACGGATAGCTTGAGATGAGGGCGAGCCAGTGCTTGGATACAGACATGAATTTGAGGAGGGATTTGATAGGAAGGAGGATAAGGATTTCCGTTAACAGGTCTTCATTGTTGACGATTGTTTCCATTGACAAAGAGAACACGATTGAGCTTGTTTTGGTTCTTTCTGCCCAGAGCATGGCGGTCAGGTATCGTTTGATAGAGATCCAAATTGCGAGGCAGGGCAGTTTATATGCAGAAAACCCTACCACTGGGAGTCGGTGGAGCAAGTTAGTATCGCTAAATGGGCCGTAAACCCTACTTGGTAGAGTAAATTATTATGGGTAAATAGGCCCAACCTCTTTTTAAATTTTTTTTTTTAATTTTTTGAGTTTTAGTCAATTTTATGATTTATGGGCGCCACCACCTCCTTTGAAAAATGAAGAAGAAGAAGAAGCAGTTTATGGTATTTTAAACTGAAATTTTGGCACAAATTGAAAAAAAATCCAATATATATATTTTTTGGGGGGAAAAATCCTAGAGTTTTTCAAGGTTTGAAATTACGTTTTTTTTAATATTAAAAATATATAAAATAAAAAATAACCTAGAATGAACCTAAATTTTTTGAAAAGTTTTATATAAATCTATCTAAATGACCATTATTTTTTTATAAAAAACTAAAAATAAACTAAATCTTAAAAATAAGGTTTAAATAAGTCAAATCTAAAATTAGAAGTTTAAGGACTAGTTTTTAACTAGACTAAAGTTCAAGGAATGTTTGACTTTTTAGTCGTATTAATTATTTGATGTCTGTGTATTTAATGAAATAACTAGTTAATCTTTTTGTTTTTTTTTAAAAACTAATGTTTATCGAAAAACGAATAGATTGACAGATAGGCTAATATCTTATACTTTTTTTGAGTTTTTTTTTTTTCAAAACAGAATACTTTTAAATTTTATTTATAAAAATAAGGTTGTTTTAATTTTATTTATCAAAATAAGATAATTTTTGCCAAAGTGGATAAAATCTCATACACATATTAGTTTTTTTTTTAATGCTTATAATGAGTCATTTAACACGTCAGCTTTATTTTATTTTCTAAAAAATTATGATATCATCCTAAAGTCTAGTTCTTCATTTTCTTTTTAGAATCTTTCTGTCACGATGAATAAATAAATCAAAAAAATTTGTAAGAAAATAAAAAGGCTCTACCAGCATAAACCTGATCAGAACATTCAAAACCGTTGAAACCCCGCAGCACTAGTTGGGTCAGACCCGGCCATGTCACGCATAGAACAATATATACTTTGCAAGCAGTAGCATTTTTTGAATTTTTCTTTGCACAGAAAAGAGAATGATCTAATTGATTTTACTATGTATTAATTTATATTATTTTTTTTTATTTTGATATATGTTTATGAGAGATTGCCTATCTTTCTATTTATATACATTTCAAAATATTTATTTTTAAAATGTATGCTTTTCTAAAATATTTCTAATTAAAATCTATTTTGTAAAAAATTGCTCAAGTATATATATATAATCTAATTAAAAGTTACATTCCAATTATATGAATTTATAAATTTATTTTTATTAATTGTTTACTTTTTAACAAAAAAATATTATTTAAGTAAAAAAGAAATGACCTAGATAAATAAATCTTACTTGGTATAAAATACCCTAGTTTAGGAAATAAGTTTAAAACTACCTTGTTTTGATAAAAAAAAAAAAATTAAAAATATCCTTATTTGAAAAAATACTCTTTTTTTATTATCCTTTAGTATCATATATTTTCCTCATGCACATAGGAGATTGTGCCAAATTCCTTCACGAGTACATATGAGAGATAGATTTTCCAAGATTCTGTAATAATTAATTTTTTATCTACAGTTATGGGTCTCCTTTTAATAAAAAAAGAAAAGGAAAAGAAAAGGTAACTAAGTCTTTTTATTGATTTTTATCGTAAATTAATTATTTTTTAATCTAAAATATCTTTGATTTGTAATAAAAAAATTTCAATTTATCTACTAAAAATAGAATTTAAATTGAATTTAAAAAAATTAATTTAGAAATTTCACAAAAAGGCTAAATTATATTTGACAAAATAATAAATATAATTAAAAACATAAGAACAAATTGAAGACTCGTAATGTTATATAAAACCATATCGGATTATATACCCTTTAAAGTATACAAGACTTGTATCAGTATGTATACACGGTGGTAGATATGTTCTTATTGATACCGCATTTTCTCTTATCCTTCGAATCATCTATGCACGCAGGATTCATTCAATATATATCTTGGTTACCCTCATTCGAGACAGCACAAGCATTTCTCAACAAATGAAGCTAGTTTTGACCATATAATCAATGTTTTCGGAACTGAAGCATTTCTTTCCACAATCCTTTAGTACTTCAATTCTCGAGCAACAGAAAATGGATGGTAAGCCAAATTTCTTAAATTAATTGGCCTAGATTCTGACAATGCTAAAAAGGCAATACACTACATCTTTTTTCCAAAAATCCAGCACATGCTAGCGAGGCAATATAGGTCCTCTAGTACTGCTACCCACAATTTTTCTTATAAACCTCGGGCACCAATAATTAGCTGTTCCAGATATAAAAACTCTGAAGAGGAACACTAACAATAGGAAGAAACCGATTTCTATGACGAACGAGGATCCATACCAATAAGAGGGAACACTCTGAGCGGGAAGAACTTTCGGCAGTGTGGAGTTCAGTCTTTTTTCAACCTTTTTAACGACCATTTGAATAAATTCTGTCTCTGACCTGCAGTTCCAGATCAGAAAGGATAGGGTTGATCAAGAAACGAATATGCAGGTTTTGCTACTTTCCTGTCGGAACAAGTTTCTTGAAAAAAATACTTCAAAATTTTACCATGAAAATAGTTTATGCATAGTTTTCCCTATAAATGCTAACTACAGCTAAATATTTAGAATTACCGGTCATGTAAAACCATCCCTGCAAGGCTTGTAGCTTCTTTAAGGGCTGCCCTCCATTGCTTCACTCTATACACCTGCTCCTTGAATCGCTCTTCGTGTTTGGCAAATGCTTCACCGTATCTCTTTGTCCGGTCTTCAACTTCGGCTGGATCCACTTTGTAAAAAATGGGAATAGCAACGAGTCCAGAAGTTCTCCTACGTTCCATGATAGTCACAAGCTCATTGAGGCACCGAGTTGAAGAAGCATAGTTCTCAGAAAACACAATCATGGAAATTTTTGATTTATTTAGTGCTCTGCCTACTGCTAATGTCATGTTTTCTCCTCTTCGAATTCCCTTATCGTATTTGAAAGTGTGGATTCCTGCTCGAATGAGAGCTTTGTAGAGGTGTCCAGCGAAACTTCCACTCGAGTCTTTGTCTCTAAAACTCAAAAATACATCGTCATTTGGCGGGACAGAAGAGAGAAGAACCAAGAGAGTGATGAATGGGTAGAGAGCCATCAGTTTTGTGAATAGAGTGTAATGTCAAAGGGTTTGTTCTGAATGAATGACTTTTTCCCTAACTGTCTTTTCAATTTTGGATCTGTAGGTGACAGCAACAAACTTATAACTCAGACTGGTAAGTGCTTATCTCCAGTTTGTTGGGTTAGAGGCACTGAGTTTCCGGTTGAATTTGATGGATATATACTATCCAGTGAATAAAGATGAAGAAAATGGTAAAGTTTTAATAAAAGAAAAGGAAGAGGGCTAAAAGAAGTTTTCTTTTCTTGATTTGGTAGGCTTAGACTCTCTTCAGTTAGCAACCCTCCAACTCCATGTCTTCTGCCATTAGTACTCTGTCCCAAGCTGGTGCGGAGATGTAGCTCAATAAGTCACATGCGCCACATGCATTTTCCTCGAGATTCGATTCAACCAGTCTTTCTTTATTGCAAAACAAACAACCAAGTTTTTCTTTAGAATTATTTTCCCTTTGTTCGAACAACTCTATCCCTAACTTTTGTTTTCTGTCCGTTACTTCTCTGCAATGATTTTACTTCAAAGTCTTTAAATATGTTCAGATCTGAAATACCTGTCGAAATTAATGAACCTTCTTGGTTTTTTGACATTTTTACAAGACATAAAGAAAGAGGAAATGATTCAAACATTATTAAAAATTGTCTTCCCCTCCCTCTCCCTCTATAGTTCTCTCTTTCAAGAAGACTTTGGGTAAGATCTAACCTGTTTGATCTGGTAGTTGAAAAAGTTTGTTTTCTTTGTTGATGTTTTGAATTCAGAACTTTGGATAATCATTCAAAAGAATTAATAAATTCTCTTGATTGTACCAAAACCAATGTAGAGATGCATTTTTAAAATCACTACAAAGGAACTTGGTCTAAGTGGATTAATTTTGTAAGGCTTAGACTCTCTTCAATTAGCATCTCTCCAACTACATGTGTTCTGTCATTAGTCTTTGTACCTAGCTGGTATAGAGATGGTGCTCTAAAATTCAAATGTCCCACTCCCACATGCTAAACGAGCAATCAAGTCTTTGTTTAGAATTATTTTCCCTTAGTTTGAACAATTCTATATGAATTAATTTTTGTGTGTTGGTTTTTTGCAATGCAATGTCTTCTTTTTTTTTTTTTAGTTCAGAATGGCTTTGAGACATCTTCAAAGCGATCCAACGTAATTAAACAGGCTCAGATAGAAGAAACTGGAGAAATTAATGAACCTTCTAGGTTGCTAGAGAAATTTTTTCTTTTTTGACATTTTTTTGAGAAACTTTTTCTTTCTTTCAAGAAGAAGAGCAAAATTCAATCCATTTGGATTGATGATTAAGGAGGTATATTATTTTTTTTGATTTCTTGAGTACAAAATTTAGGCTCGGCATTCAGGAAAATTAATAAGACTGATGTGGGCATGCGTTCTTAAAATCATTCTTTCATTTTGAAAGAATTTAGCTTCATTTGACAAACAAGGAGGTTCGAAAATACCTATACAATATTCGAATAAAAAAAAACCAATCTATTTGACGATACTGGATGAGAGCAAGGGTTGTATCTAGCCAAGTGGATCTAAATAGCTTGTCTTGAAACAGGGAGAGTTAACACTATTTTAACTTCTTTTTAGCAACTTAAACTCATCATTTTTTATTTTTGGATCTTGAAGGTTTGATGGATTTTAATATGCACAAACTATAAAAAGTAAAAAGTGACATCCTTCAAGAATATTTGGACATTATTCGAAGTTGAACCCTCGGAATCTTCCAAAAGTAACATCAAAATCTCATAATCTTCAACTATATAGTTGTAGATTTCCTTATTAATACAAGGCAAGAATAAGTACTGACTCTCACTTGAAGAAAGAAAGCAATCCTGGAAAGGATAAAACAATTATTACAACAAATCATAATATCCAGAATCTCTTGCAGCATATCGAGTCTTTGAAATGCATTCATCTAAGGAAACGACATGTTCTTCTTGCTTTCCCGTTTAAGGGATCCGAGAAAAGAACTGAACTATTGTGCTGTTCGAAAGTTTTTCTAACACGTATGAAACTCTGCTCCAACTAAAATAGGGAGAATTACGATTCAGGATATTTCCAATCATCAGAGCAATATCTTGAGCAAATTGTTGATCATCCCTGCAAACGCAAAGCAAAATACAAAATTATCAGAGACAACAAGCATGTTAAAAGATTGATGATTTTTCTTCTACTGGCCGGATAGTAGTTAGTACCTGTTTTGTAAAGTCTGTCCTCCAACCTGGTCTGCAGCTTCTTTAAGAGCTGCCCTCCATTCCTTCACTATACCTGCCTTGAAGTTGTTTTCATATCTAGTAAACACATCCCCGTATGCCCCTATCTGCTTCTGAACTTCTGATGGATCCACATCATAAAAAAATGGCACCACAACGTACCCATCATCAGCTCTCCTACGTTCCATGATCAATACAAGTTCATCAAGGCTCCATTTTGAAGAAGGGTAGTCCTTAGAAAACACTACTATTGATATTTTTGAAATGTAGATTGATATTCTGATTTTTAACCAACTATTTACGCTTCTCTTGATTCTAGTATGATCTCCGTAAGTGTAAATCCCAGATTGACTTAAAGCTTCGAGGAGATCAGAAGTAAATTCTTCCGTGTCTGTCCCTCCAATACTCACGAATGCATAGTTTTTTGTTCCAAACAGAGGAACTATGGAAATAAAGACCAACAATAGAACAATGAATAGCAAGAAAACCTTCAGTTTGATAACAAAGAATCTATCCCAAATAAAATAGGTAGCAGCATTCCTAACTGTGTCGTTCAGGTCATTTTCAACAACTCGGACAGTATAGCTCAGTTCATTTCGAGTATCTTCAACTATTTTTTCAATAAATTCTACCTCGCACTGCCTGCAAACCCAAATCAAATCAGGAAACTGAAAAAAATAAGCACCTAATTGAAACAAAAACAATTATATCATAATTAGTTAGAAAATCTTATATAGGCCCTTGGCTTGGAGCAGAGAACCTAGAAATGGAAATGTCTTACCATGATAATGCGACTCATGATTCATTTATGGGAAATGGAATTAGGAAGCGAATAGCGGAGACTAGAGAGAGAGAAAGTGAAAATTTTCTAGGGAGATTATTGTTCCATACCCGTCCTTCAAAACCACTCCTCTTAGATCTGTAATTTTTCTTAGAGCTGCCCTCCATTTCTCCACTTTATGGATCTCATTTTTGAATTGCTTTTCATGCTCATCAAACGCTAGGCCATAGTTCCCTGTCTGCAGCTGGACTTCAGATGGACTCACCTTGTAGAAAATGGGCACCACATGATTCTTAGCAGTTCTCCTACGTTCCATAATCATTACAACCTCATCGAGGCAGTATGTTGAGGTGGCATAAAGTTTAGAGAACAAGATTATGGATATTTTCGATTCATTTATTGCTCTTTCTATTTCCGAGTCAATACTTTCCCCCGTCTGAATCCCAAACTCATCAAAGAAAGTGGGAATGCCTGCCTCTTCCAGAGCGTTGTGGAGGTGACGCGCAAAACCTTTCCGGGTTTCTATGCCTCTGAAACTCAAGAACACATCCTCAGGTGTTGCAGAGACTAGAACCAATAAACTGAGGAATAGAAAGAAAGCCACAAGTTTAATGAATAGCATTTTCAAAGAGCGAAAAGGAAGAAGAAAAGGGTGAAGCTCTAAGTGGAAGAGTTAGATTTATGATGAAAGGGCTTACAAGACGTTAAAGTGTCCAGCATTAATTTTTTGGGATTTGTTTCTAGCGAGTCTTTCTTTGGACTTTTTCCTATTCCGTTCAGTGGTTTGGATGTTTTCTCATAGTTTATTGAATTAATGTAAGCTGCTGTGCCTTTTATGTTAAGTTTTCTTTTGCATATGATACCCTGGCAAAGATTTGTGTTCAGACATTAAATGTTTACTAGTCATATAATATTTTTATCGTCTGTTAGTTTTCTACAAAGCACTGTTTTCTTTAGACTTTTCTTCTATTTTCTTCAGTGGTTTGGATGTTTTCTCGTAGTTTATTGAATTGATGAGCTTGCTGTGACTTTTTTAAGGTTTCTTGCATCTGATACACCAGAAAACGTTTGTGTTCAGACTTGAAAACTAATATAAATGAAGGCAACATGGGTATCCTGAAGCTATTCCATTCCTACTAATTCCATATTCCATGTCTCCATTTTCAGGTCAATCCTTTTTAGAAGCGAGCATCCTCAAGTTCCTTCTTTATACAGTGGAGATCTCACCAGGCACTAATGCAGGACCAAAGCTAATTACTGTAATCCTCATCAATATGCACCCACCTCCAAGAAATTAGCAAAAAGATTAAAAATCACATTCTGCTCTTATAATTTCACCTTTTAGTGATATTAAACCTTCTACTTCATTTTGGATCGTGCCAATTTAGAACTTTTTTAATTTTTCTATCCACTTTTATCATGGGAATAGATATGTTCATATTAGTTTCAATGTTAATCGAAATTAAATCATTACTTTTTAGATTATGCTAGCATTAAATCACGTCTAATCTTGAATTAATTCTAGAAGTTAGACTTTTTTAGCCTGCCAATGGTTCATATACAGTACTGCAGAAAGGAAAGAGTAGAGTTGAAATATTAAAAAAATTATTAAACCTAAAAAATGGTAAAAAAATAATTAAGTACTTCTTTCTATGCTTTATTTAAAATAAAGCATAAAATATTAAATTATTGAAAAATTATTAGGTTAAGTTTAATAATATTTTATACTTTATTTTATTAGTAATTAACACAACCTAATACTATTTAAGTCTTTCATTTCATACTCTATTTTATTTTTCCACCTTCATACGATACAGTGGCGTCCCATTATTTTTAATCAGGCCACGTTTCAATTTTAAATTGATTAAGGATTGGTCAACTATCAGACTTCTGTAAAAGAATGAAAGGATAAAAAAAAAATCCTAAAAATCTGTGCTGAAAGATCGGCATGACCCAACATGATGTATATATAAAATTGGATATGATTAAGAATACAGTGAAGATTACTTGGCATTGTCAAGTTTTAAATAGAATGCTAAGGAAAAAATTAAAAAACCAGGATGGAAATGATAAGATTTGGGTTTAATGGCTAAATTTATCATTATATAACAATAAGGGCAATTCTGATATGTAATTATATCTTTAATTAAATTAATTTTATTCTTAAATATATGTTAAGTGTCTAATAAAAATTAGTCAAGCTATTAAAAACTTTCTTTTCCATGAAAATCACATTAAAAAAAAAAAAAAAAGACAACTTCAATGATAGATATGATTATTTGAGTTAATAGTTAAATCTATCTTTATACAACAAAATAAAAAATTAGTCATATGTAAATTACGTGAATAGTTTCAATGATTTGATTTGAAAATTTTGATAAAATTAATAATAGATTGAAAACTTTTTGTATATTTAATGATAAAAAAATTAATTAAATTAAGAATATAAAAACAAATTGAAGAATTACTTTATTATATAAAAATAAATTAAAATATTAACCCTAAGATTTACTTTATTATTGTTAAGCAAGAGTTCTCAAACAATACTTTCATTCTATATTTCTATTCAACATTGTAGTAATATATATATATATATATTATTTTTAAGTGGTCGTGGAATCTTTGTTTTTGAAATAAATAAAGTAAAACAGATTAATATTGATGCGTTTTGACTTATTTTTAGAGATTTATCACGAACTTGATTAAACCCCAAACCACCCCCCCCCCCCCCATATGGGAAATGCCAGATTTCTCTTAGAAAATCACGAACCAGATCATTATTGAGATTAGACGATTTTTTTTAATGAAATTAAATAATAATTTTTCTTAACAAATTTGAAACTCTGCTTTAATTATTAAAACCAGCCACCAAGAAAGCCACGTATGTGAATGCGTAGGATTGCGACGCGGTAGAAAATTGGTTTGGACATGATCATTTTTTGTTGAATCTTTGGAACTTTCAGTTGGTTTTGGCAAGTTGATTCGTAATGGACGACTGGTCTTGCAGATGGATGTTTGCTGGGAGCTTGAAGCATGGACTTCATGTTAGACTCTTGTTTTAATTTTCGCCTCCGTAATTTGATTCATTAAGCTTGGTTTCACATTGAGACATGGGGTCTGATAATTTTACTTTGTATGTCCAGTTATGGATCTTAGACCGTCGAATATGTTTGTTAACTGGATGATCATGTTGGTAATTCAACTATGGCCTACGACATTTGTGTCTTACGTGTATCTTGTCTTAAATAAGATTTCCTTCCCTTTTTTGTTTGTTTGAACTACGTTCCTTGGTGTTCTTCAATCATTGTAAACCAAGACGGCGTGACAGAGTTGAGGTATGAACTACGACGAATAGAGAAGGGATAGCTTGAGATGATCGAGGGCGAGCTAGTGCTTGGATACAGACATGAATTTGAGGAGGGATTTGATGGGAAGGAGGATAAGGATTTCGCTTAGCAGGTCTTCATTGTTGACGATTGTTTCCATTGACAAAGAGAACAGGGTTGAGCTTGTTTTGGTTCCTTCTGCGCAGAGCATGGCGATTAGGTATCGTTTGATAGAGATACAAATTGCGAGGCAGGGAAGTTTACATGCAGAAAACCCTACTACTGGGAGTCGGTGGAGTAAGTTGGTATGGCTAAATGGGCCGGGCCGTAAACCCTACTTGGTAGAGTAAATTATTATGGTAGAGTTCTGTCGCAGAGTGAGCAGGCTCTGTAAGAGAGATTGTTGTCAAAGTCCATGCCTATCACTGTACAAATTACTGTTGTTTCCTTCTCATACTACTCCATTGCTTTGCTTGCTCAAAGATCGCAATTTTCCTCCCTCCTTCCTTTCTTTTCGCTTCTCAAGCGTTTGGTTGTCGTTCTCCTAAAAACAGAAAAAATTAGAGTCAATTTTATTTAACCCCCTAAAGTATATGGATTTTATCAAATTTCTTCCAAAGTTTGTTTTATATGAATTATACCTATGATCTTCCTTAAATTTCCTTTTATTGTGCAGACTTCAGTTTCACATGATTTATTTTAAAGATAAATATACAATTTTGATTTTAAAAACAAATTCACTTGAAAAAAAAACATGAAAAAATATTCAATATGAAATTCAATAAATACGAAAAAAAGATACAAAACAAATCGACTTGAGAATTCTTTAAAAATATATATTATTTGGGAGGATGACTTTTGTTATGGGGTGATAAGCATGATATATATATATATATATATATATATATATATATATATATATATATATATATATATATATATGTATGTATGTATGTATGTATGTATAATGAGAACTCCAAAGCTAAATGCCAACCTCATACGTTAATATTTAATAAGTAATATTATAAATTATGCGTTGGCTATAAAACAAGAAGAAAACATTATATCATTATAAATTATGCGTTGGCTACAAAACGAGAAGAAAACAGGATATGGTTAATAAGTCATCGATCAAAAGAGAAAAATACAAGTAATAATAAATAAATAAAAACTTAATATATTAGTATATTAAGAAGAAAAATACAACAACCCTTGAGCTGGTTGGTCTCAAATGGGACAGAGAAAGTAACACCAATTATTTTTTATTGATTATTTTTAATATTCTAAATTTAATTTGTTTTAAACAAAATAATATTTTAAGAGAATTACATAATAGTTTAAATACATGTTTTTATACTTAATATTATTGATTGTTTTGTATGTACACGTATGTGTGTTTATATATCAAATGTATATATGTTTAAAAACTTTAAAAGATTTATTAGTTAATTTTTATATAAATTTTTGTTGATATATTTCTCCTATATAATCTTATAAAAAAATATTAAGATACAAATACAATTTTTTATGCTTGGTATTATTGATTATTTTATTAATAAATATATATAAATCAAACAATTTTGCTCAACAAATAAATTTGATGTATATTAATTACGAGAAATAAGGTTTTATTTGTATTATATCATACGAATCGTTAACTTTACGTATATAACGATTGTCCGACCGTAGCGTAGCGCGGGTATCCAACTAATAAGAACTGAATCTATCACATCTATGAGACAATTTGATATCTAAAGGTGAAGTAAAAAAGGGAAATAATTATTTTTATTTTGAAGAGAATGGGCATAATAAGGTAACCTATCTGTTATAATATTTTACTCTTTATGCACATGAGTGAGGGAATGTATCAATAGTAAAGATGCAGAACGTCTCACATGATGAATATAGATCCAAGGTAAGGAGGAGAGTCCTAAAATAACTTGGACCGCTTGATTCTAATCAGCCTGTGTGCCATAGTTATTTGCAAATATTGTCATGAATTGTCGTCCTGAGCCATAGATAACACCTCCACCGGTGTAACAACCATCTAGGTATTAGATCTACAAATAGAAGTCATTTAGGTCCGTCCATGAGTTGATAGGCAAGGATTTACATACATAAATAAATACTACATTCGATCAAAAAAAAAAAAAAACTATTAGATTATAAAGTTTGTCAACGTCAGCGCACCGCTTGCCGATCAAACTACAATATGAAAACAGAACAATGTATATAAGCAAACATGGGCTTATTTGTCAGATTTTTATAAAAAAAAAAAAAAGTAAGAATTTTTACTGATCCTCCGTGTAAGTTGATCTATGCACGAAAGATACTAAGGGATTGGTTGATAATCTAATTAAATAGTTTAATTAAATTAAATTATAGTATTTAATATAAAAAATTTGTTTGATAACTTAAATAATCTCATATTAAAAATTTAAGTTTAATTAAAATCTACTTAATCGAGATAAGTTAAAATTTTTAACTTATTATTTTTTTATTAACATGCTCAGTTGAAAGATTTTTAAAACTTTTCAAATATGATCATATTATCCTTATATATTCTTATAACATTAGATATACAAACCAATTAAAAAACAATCTCTACTATCTTTATTGCTAAAACAGATAAGACTTGATAGTAAAAATTATAAAAATATAGAGGTTAGAATCGGAAATTGAGAAATAGCTATAGTTGCTTAAACTTATCTTTTGAAGAATTTTATGGGCTAGAAGATTGATTCGCATTTGACGATATCGGTTCTGGTTGTTTTGCCATTGTTAATGTTTTGATCTCTTTCTGCACGTGAGATCAGAGTTTCTTTCTTTCTATTTGGTTAAAATATATATATTTGACTTATTTGACTTATTTGACTTCTTCAAAGCAATCCAAAGTCTTTTAATTCTGTACAGACATGAAGCACCTGGACAGACAAATCAGTGAACCTTTTAGGTTGCTGGAGACTTCTTTTTTTCTTTTTCTTTTTTAGGCATTTTTCTGGCCTCTCCCATTTTTACAAGACAGAAAGAAACAGGAAATGCATGGTTCAAACATCGGTAAAAGTTGTCTCTTCCCCAAGCTATATAGATCTTTGTTTCAAGAAGACCGAGTAAAATTCAACCTATTTGGCCTGATGATTAAGGAAGTTTGTTGTTATTATTATTATTATTTATTTAAGATTTAAGGCTTTAATTATCTTGAGTTGAGAAATTTTATAATACACAAGAAGTAACTAATGACATGTTCATTAGTTACTCCTTGGATCCACTTTGAGGAAAAAAATAAACACATAAAAAAAAGAGAAAATAAATAAATTTGAATAGATATTGAAATTTTCTTATCACTTTTGATAGATATGAATGTAATTTTCTTTTTGTTATGTGTCCGTCTCTCCTCAAAATGAATCTACGGAGTAACTATCGTACATGTCACTAATTGCTCATTGTATGTTATAAAATTTTTCATCTTAAGTGTGTCAAGATGGATATGAGAGTGCGTTCTTAAAATAGTTTTTAAAAAATTTAATTTTATTTGACATGCAAGATAGTCCGAGAATAACTTTACAATCGTTTAAAAAAAAAAAAAAAAAAAGAACCAATTTGATGATACCAAATGGGAGCAAGGATTGTATCTAATCAAGTGGATTTAAATGGTTTGTCTGGAAAGAGGGAGTGTGTTAATCTTTTTTAACTTCTTTTTAGCAACTTAAACTCATCAGCTTTTTGGAACTTGAAGGTTTGATGGTTTTTAATACACACAAACTATAAAAAGTAAAAAATAGCATCATTCAAGAATATTTGGACATTTTTCGAAGTTTAACCCTCATAATCTTCCAAAAAGTTCCATCAGAATCTGATAATCTTCAACTATATAGTTGCAGATTTCCTACTTAATACAAAGCAAAAATTACTGACTCGCTTGAAGAAAGAAAGCAATCCCGGAAAGGATAAAACAATTATCACAGCAAATCCACCTCTCCACAATCTTCTGCAGCATCTCTGAGCCTTTGAAATGCACAAACTATAAAAAGTAAAAAGTGACATCCTTCAAGAATATTTGGACATTATTCGAAGTTGAACCCTCGGAATCTTCCAAAAGTAACATCAAAATCTCATAATCTTCAACTATATAGTTGTAGATTTCCTTATTAGTACAAGGCAAGAATAAGTACTGACTCTCACTTGAAGAAAGAAAGCAATCCTGGAAAGGATAAAACAATTATTACAACAAATCATAAAATCCAGAATCTTCTGCAGCATATATGAGTCTTTGAAATGCATTCATCTATGCAAACTACATGTTCTTCTTGTTTTCCCGTTTAGGTGATCTGAGCAATGCTTGAGCAAAGAACTGAACCATTTTGTTGTTAAACAGTTTTTCTAACACGTACGAAACTACGCTCCAACTAAAGTAGGGAGAATTAGGATTCAGGATTTTTCCAATCATTTTAGCAATATCTTGAACACATGGCGGATTGTTCCTACAAATGCAAAGCAAAAGACAAAAATATCAGAGACAATAAGCAGGTTAAGAGATTGATGATTTTTCTTCCACTGCATATTACTTAGTACCTGTCTTGTAAAGATTGATGATTTTTGCTCTGGTCTGCAGCTTGTTCAAGAGCTGTCCTCCAGTCCTTCACTAAACGTGCCTTGAAGTAGTTTTCATGCTTAGCAAATGCATGCCTGTATGCCCCTGTCTGCTTCTGAACTTCCGATGGATCCACATCATAAAAAATTGGCACCACAACGTACCCATCATCATTTCTCTTACGTTCCATGATCACTAAAAGCTCATCCAGGCACCATTTTGAAGCAGGGTATTTCTTAGAAAACACTATTATTGATAATTTTGAAATGTAAATTGCATTTCGGATTCTTAACCAAGTATCTTCCCCTCTCTTAATTCTAGTATGGTCTCTGTAAGTGTGAATTCCTGATTGACGTAAAGCCTCATCGAGATCAGAAGTAAATTCTTCCGTGTCTGTCCCTCCAATGCTCACGAATGCATAGTCTGTTCTTCCAAACAGAGAAACTCTGGAAATAAAGACCATCGATAGAACAATGAATAGCAAGAAACCCCCGAGTTTGATAACCAAGAATCTATCCCAAATAAAATTTGGAGCATCGTTCCTAACTGTATCGTTCTGTTCTTTTTCAACAACTTCCACAACATTTTTCAGTTTAGTTCGAACAAGTTCAACTATTTCTGCAATAAATTTTACCTCACACAACCTGCAACAACCAAATCAGAAAACAGAAAAAATAAGCACCTAATTGAAACAAAAACAGTTATGTGATAATTAGTTGGAAAATCTCAATGTTCTTCAACAATTATATATGTGGAAAACACGTAGGCCCTCGGCTTCGAGAACAGAACTTGGGAATGGAGAAATGTCATACCATTGTAATGCGACTCGTGATTTATTATGGCAACCATATGCGAAATGGAATTAGGAACCCAACAGCGAAGACGAGAGAGAAATAAAGTGAACATTTTCAAGGGACATTATTATTTCATACCCGTCTTCGAAAACCATTCCTCCTAGATCTGTAACTTCTCTAAGAGCTGCCCTTCATTCCTTTACCCTGTGAATCTCCTCTTTGAATTGCTTTTCAATTTTGCAATAGAAAGTTTCATGAACAGTTTTATGCTTTCCATTCTCAAACAAAAATTGTTTTATGCATGTTTATTCCCTATAAGTGCTATCAACCGCTAAATATTTAGAATTACCTGTGATGTAAAACCTTCCCTGCAAGGCTTGCTGCTTCTTTAAGGGTTGCCCTCCATCGCTCCACTTTATCCATCTCCTCCTTGAATCGCTCTTCGTGTTCAGCAAATGCTTCGCCATATATCTTTGTCTGCTCTTCGACTTCGGCTGGGTCCACTTTGTAAAAAATGGGAATTGCAACATGTCCAGCAGTTCTCCTACGTTCCATGATAGTCACAAGCTCATTGAGGCACCTTGTTGAAGAAGCATAGTTCTTGGAGAACACAATCACGGATATTTTTGATTTATTTATTGCCCTGTCTATTGCTAATTTCATGTTTTCTCCTCTTCGAATTCCCTTTTCGTATTTGAAAGTGTCGATTCCTGATCGAATCAGAGCTCTGTAGAGGTGATCAGTAAAACCTCCACCCGTGTCTTTGCGTAAGAAACACAAAAATACGCCGTCATTTGGCGGGACTGACGAGAGAAGAAGCAAGAGAGTGATGAATGGGTAGAGAGCCATCAGTTTTGTAAATAGAGTTTGATGTCAAAGGGCTTGGTTTTGAATGAATGATTTTCCCACGACTGTCTTTTCAATTTTGGATCTGTAGGTGGCAGCAAGAAACTTATAACTCCGACCAGCAAGTACTTATCTCCTGTTTGCTATGTTAGAACCACTGAGTTTCAGTGATGAAGAAAATGAAGGCTAAAAGAAGTTTACTTTCGTTGATTTGGTAGGCTTAGACTCTCTTGAATTATCATCTCGCCAACTCCACGTGTTCTGTCCTTAGTCTTTGTTGCTAGCCGGCTAAGAGATGGAGCTCAACAAGTCAAATGCCCCACCGCGTTTTTTCCGAGATTCATTTCACCACTATTTCTTTATTGCTAAACCTACATGAGAAGCAAGGGAGTAAATTATAAATTAGTCCATAATGTCCATAATTTTTACCATCTTCCCATCTATAGAGCTTAGTTTTATCATCTTCTCATCAATATTTCCATAATTTTTACTTTTTTATTTTTTTAAATAAAATAAAAATAAATTAAGAATAGCAACAAAAAAAAACTAAATGATTGGATTTTAAAATCAAAAAAACTAATTAATTTATTTCTCGAAGCGACTAATTTATAATTTACTCAGAAGCAAGGGTGTTACAAAATTTTTTAGTTAATATAACATTTTTTAAAAATATTCTGACAAATAAACCTGTGTTTATTTATGCATATAAACCCTTGTATTTCAGCTCATGGACGGGTCTAAATGACTTCTATTTGCAAATCTTTCCAAAGTATACATCCTGCATTACCTCATCAAGCAATAACGTGCTGGAAATAATTTGGTACAAAGACAAAAAATTAGCAAAATAATTGGCTTAGAGGTTTTGGAATATTTTATTAAAATATTAACTATATTAAATAATAATAATAAATGAAAAAATGTTTCAAACCCTTACATTTGAAACAAAAGACCAAAGGTCTTTTTCACTAATTTTTTAACATTTTTTCATTGAATTTTTTAATGTTCTTTTATTAAGTTTTAATATACATTGTATTAGCTATTAAATTCTTTAAATAAATTAATTAAATTCTTCAAACTGTTACTTCACTTACTTATGTATATATATGTACTCTACTTGAGAAGAAAAAGTGACAGCAAGTTTTTGCTTTGCTATGGAAGAAAAAGTATTTCTTTAATATTTGTTTCTTTAGCCCTCCAGTAAAAAAGCCATATAATTTTTTGATTCTATGTTTGGGTAATAATGGTGCTAATTTTATTTAGAGTTTCAAGTCTTATAAGTAGTGCAAACTTGTTAAGAAACGATAAGATGGCTGAGCTTATTGTATCCCTAAGATGACGTGCAATATATTCTTGATCCATTGCATCGGATAAATTCCGTAGATGACACGTATCGTCTCAAGAAAGTAACTCGATTGTGCCTCGAACCGATCATCTAAAAATTATAGTAAAACTATTTTAATAGTTCGATCATTTTTATACAATGAAATATGATAATGTGATTTTAATCATTAATTTTTTTAATGACCAAGGTAAAAAAAAATTAATTCTTTATTTATTTTAAATTACAATAAATTTATTTATTTATTGTGTAAATTTTATCATTTAATTATGTTCTTTTTGTGTGATATGAACAATAATAGGCGTGATAAATACTGTTTTTGAAGTACTTATTTGTCCCATACAATAGCACTAATACTATCACTCTTTCATGTAGGGTATCTATTCTATATAAAGAAAATGACAAGTTTTCTGAATTTTTTGGTCAATAGAAAAAAAAATTATTTGGGTTCCTAATTTTTTTTAGTTTCTTTTTCTTTTTTTGTTAATTAATTTTAGACCACATTGGACACACATGATAGATACATAGAATTATAAAACAACAATACGACATGTGAAACTATAAAACAATAACACATGCCTTGTGTTTAAAATTTTCAAGACATGTGTTGTTATTACAACGGCTCTACATATCTCTTGTGTAGTTTGAAATTAATTAATGGAATGAAAGAATTTAATTAAGACAAAAAAAAAAACCTAAATAAAAAAATTAGTTTTTTCGCCAATAGTTTAGAGTATTTTATAATCAATTAAAGGAAGAAAATTTACTTAGTTAATTCAAACAAGCCTAGAACTAATTTTCTGGAGAGCCAATAGAACTGAAAATCCAACACTGATGGGCTCGAGTTCATTATATTACAGAAAAGAAAAAACAAAACTGACGAATTAAGTTCGTGAAAAATAAGTCAGAACTCATCAATATTTATCCATTTTATTCTATTTATTTCAAAAACAAAGATCCCACAATCACTTAAACAAAATGAAGAAAATATTACAACATTGTTGAATTGAAATATAGAATGAAGGTATTGTTTGAGAACTCTTGCTTAACCACAGTTTAATTTATTTTTATATTCTTAATTTAGTTGATTTTATTTTTAAATATACGTGAAGTTTTCAATATGTTATTTTATCAAAATTTTCAAGTCAATTATCGAAATTACTCACGTAATTTGCACATAATTCATTTTTATTTTGTTATATAAAAATAGATTTAACTATTAACTCAAATAATTATATCTAACTATCATTGAAGTTGTCTTTTTGTAATTTTATGCGATTTTCATGGAAAAGAAAGTTATTAATAACGTGAATAATTTTAATTTTCAAAATATTTTTACTAATTTCAATAGTTTTGAAAATTTTATCAAAATGATTTATATTAAACGCTTAACTTATATTTAAGAATAAAATTAATTTAATTAAAGAAATAATTATATACCGGAGAATTGTCCTTGTTGTATAGGGATAAATTAAGCCATTAAACTTAAATCTTATCATTCCCATCCTGGTTTTTAATTTTTCCTTTGCATTCTATTTAAAACTTGACAATGCCTAGTAATCTCCGCTGTATTTTAATCATATCCAATTTTATATTTACATCATTTTGGGTCATGCCGATCTTTCTGCTTGGATTTTTAGGATTTTTTAATCCTTTAATCCACTCCCGTTAGAAAAGTCTGTTAGTTAATTTAAGTAACACCGTTAGTTGATCAATCCTTAATCAATTTAAAATGAACACGTGGCCTGATTAAAAATAATGGGATACCACTATTTTGTATGAATTTGGTCAAATTAACCCTTCTATAATAAATTGGGGTTGAAAAATAAAATAAGGTATAAAATGAAAGACTTAACTATTATTAGGCTGTGTTAACTAATAAAATAAAGTATAAAATATTATTAAACTTAACCCAATAATTTTTCAATAATTTAATAGTTTATGCTTTATTTTAAATAAAGCATAAAATGAAGTACTTAATTCTTTTTTACCATTTTTTAGGTTTAATAATTTTTTAAATATTTCAGCTCTTCTCTTTCCTTTTTGTGGCACGTGATATGAACTATTGGTAAACTAAATAAAATCCAACTTCTAGAATCAATTTAAGATTAGAAGTAACCTAGCATTAATAAAGTTCAGAAAATAAAGATTTAGTTTCAATTGATACTAAGACTGGTATGAAAATATTTCAATATATATATATATATATATAAAAGTTAATGTAACCAAATATTGATTAAGTCCTTATTTTATATATTATTCTTTTAGTTAAGTCCAATTTTGTTATAGAAGGATTAATTAGATTTTTTACTCGCGCTATGTCTGCGGATTGGATAAAATATATAAAATCATATAGAAAAATTATTTCAGTTTAATAACCTATTTTACGATAAAAAATAATTTTAATTTTTAAATAAAAAAATTTTATATTTAACTATTTCTTATTTGTGTTTTTAAATTTTAGAAATAAATAACAAAGCAAATAAATTATTGATTTCTTTAAAATTTTAACACCTAATTAATTGTTGGTTCTTTTAAAATTTTAACACCTAATTTTATTAAGAAATTAAAATTAAAAAAAATCAATGTTTAGGGGAAAAAAAAAAAAGGAGGCCAGTTGTTTATTGTTCATGTCAATAGTAAACGGACGGAAATTAAAAAAAAAAAGTGTTTGGAGAGAAAAAAAAAAAAAAAGAGGGCAAGCCGTTTACCATTCAAATAAACAATAAACGGGTAAAAAAAAAAAAAAGGAGGGAAGGCCAGCGAGTGCTGGCAAAAAAAAATAAAAGCTTAAAAAAAAAACCCAAAGTAATATAGCAATAAACGAGTAATTAACACTGTTCATTGCTACGATGAAAAATGGTTTTTCTTTAGTATATAGTATTAGATTTTTTACCTACGCTATGCTTGCGGGTTGGATAGAATATATAAAATCGTTTAGAAAAATTATTTTAATTTAATAATCTGTTTTATGATAAAAAATAATTATAATTTTTTAATTAAAAATTTTGTATTTAATCTGTTTCTTTTTTTTTAATTTTAAAAATAAATAATAAAGGAAATAAATTATTGGTTTACGTAAAATTTTAACACTTAATTAATTGTTGATTCTTTTAAAATTTTAACACAAAATACTATTAAGAAACAAAAATAAAAAAAATTGAATGTTCAGGAAAAAAAAAAAAAAGGGTGCAAGCAGTTACTGTTTATATGAACAGTAAATGAACGGAAATTTAAAAAAAAAATTCAATGTTTAAAAAAAAAAGAAGTCGTTTACTGTTCAAATGAACAGTAAACGGATGGAGAGGGGGGACGGGTGTAGCCAAAAAAACGATTAATAAAAATTAAAAAAAAAACACTGTAGCATTACTACAGTGAAAAGCATTTTGCTTTAGTATATAGGATAATGTGATTAAATTCATATAGTAGATGGGCATTCTATGATTTTTAGCTAGACCACGTGTTCGCAGTTAATAGGTTAAGGATTGGTTAACTAACTGTTTTAATCAAACTAACATGTTCCCGTGACAGAAGTGGATAGAAAGATTAAAAAAGGTTCTAAATTGGCACAATCGAAAACAAATTCCCGTGACAGAAGTGGATAGAAAAATTAAAAAAATTCCAAATTGGCACGATCCAAAATAAAGCAGAAGGTTTAATATCAGTAAAAGATGAAATTACCTAAAAAGGCTACAAGATCTGGGTTAAATGAACAGTAACTCACTGTTCATTTATCTCTATATAATAAATTTTATTACTGTTCATTTAAACAGTATTTTACGGTCCAATTTGTGGGCAAGGCTACTCTGCTGCTAAAACCAAGCAAGCGTGCAACAGATTTTGTAAGGGTTCACATGGAAAGATTGTTGGACTCAGAGAAGGCTGCAACAAGTTTCAGTCCAACTAACAAGCCACTCAATAAACACTAAATCATATTTTTTTCTCTTATCTATATAGATACCTTTAACATGTACTGCATGCCGAAAATTTAGAAATAATTTTTTTTTATTAGAATGTTATTTTTTTCATAATTATTTTTAACTTGATTGTCAAATAACTTAATGATTTTTTTATTTATTATCTTATCCTAATTTTTTTTTAAAAAAAATTCTAATCCCTTAACTCGTGCACTACACATGTCTTTTGTATTTTTGCTTTTTTCATAAATTTATGTTTTTTTTTATTTAGTTGGGTGTTAAAATTTTGAAAAATCAATTTTTTCTTTTTTTCCATCAATTTATATTTTTTATTTAATTGAGTGTTAAAATTTTAAAAAATCAATCATAATTTTTTTCACACAAATTGACAATTATATAATATATCTTTTTATATTTTAAAATTAACATAAAATTCAGCTTATATTACTCTTATTATTTAAATTTCATTATTTGAATTTATCATTTTTTAATGAAAATTATTATCTAAATAATATTTTTATATGAAATTTTAATTACTAATAATATATAATTTATTTTTCTTTATATTTAAATTTTAGAATAAGATTTTAAAACATGATTATTTTTTCTTTTTTTAAAAATAATTTGGTGTAATACACATCATGAATTCTTAAAATTTTTAAATGATAGTTGCATGTATATAAATATATAATTATTTTATTCTAAAAGGTTAAAAGCGTATTTCAAATAATTTATCTCAGTTCAATAGGTATGGTCAAGACGTATAAAAAAATTATTGAATCGTTAATTTTATTAAAATTTAACTATACACCTTCCAATATAATACAAATTATTTACTATAAATATTTTTTTGACATTATAGAATCAATTTATTTGGAATAAAATAATTAAATAATATTTTAAAGGAACCAACCAATTATTCAAATGTTATTTTTTATGCTAATTTTATTGATTATTTTGTAAATAAATATATATAGAACAAATGCATATACTTGAAAAAAAAATCTTCTCACCAACATTAAATCAGAATAAAATTTTATTTTTTCATTGGTTAATTTTTATGCAAGTCTATACATTAATTATAACTTTATTTTTTGGATACATTCTTATAAAAAATAATTTTAAAGTATTTTTTTAATTCTTAATTAATATTTCATGTTTAAATTATTACAAGTTTTTATTTAAGAATCTCTAGATAACAAAAAATAAATCATGTTTTTTTAAGCAAAAATTTTATAAAAACCACACAAAATAATAATAATTAAATAAAAATTAATGAAAAGATCATAACATTTTGAAATGATATTGTTCCATTTACCCATAGCGTTGCGCTAATAATTTAAAAAATAATCTTTTCATCAGCATTAAATAAGAATTTTTTTATTTTTTTTATTTTTTTAAAGTCTGTATATTAATTATAATATTGTGAAAATTATATTTTTAAAGTTCTTTTTTCAATTCTTGATTAATATTTTAGTTAAAATTATTATAATTTTTAATTTTAAAATAAATTCATAAAGAGGATTTATTTTTTTTTAAGAAAAACAATTATTAAAAACATTAAAAAAATTAATTAAATAAAAAAATTTTATTCTACCGAACTCGCAGCCGTAGCGCAAGCAACCGACTAGTTATAATTTAATATAATTGATTTGAACATAAGAGATTTTAATATTAGAAATTTTATAATACTCAAAGAATAACTAGTGGTATGTACAGTAGTTACTTCATGAATCCACTTGAAAGAGAGATAGACACATAAAATTATATATAGATCCACGAAAGTGATAAAAAGATTTTCATGTTTGCTCAATTTTTTTTCTCTTTTGTTTCTCTCGCCTTTTTTATGCCTATTTTTCTCCTCCGAGTGGGTCTTTAGAGTAATTAATGTACATATCACTAGTTATTCCTCGAGTATTATAAAATTTCTCGTTATTTAATCAAGTAATCTCAAATTCCTTGTATAATAAAAAATTCTTTGAATAGCTGCGTGCGTTTTACAGAAGAGTGAGGAATTAATTTAGTCTTGAGGCCTAAAATACCTTCAAGGATAAAAGAAAAATACGGTGATTTTTAACCTTTTACTAATTACTTGGAGGTGGGCGCATGTTGGCGAGGATTACAGTAATTAGCTTTGGTCCAACATTTGTGCCTGGTGAGATCTCCACTGTAGAAAGACGGAACTTGAGGATGCTCACTTCTAAAACGGATTGACTTGAAAATGGAGATATGGAAAATGGAATAAGGAATCGAATAGCTCCAGGATACCCACGTTGACTTCTTTTATATTAGTTTTCAAGTCTGAACGCAAGCGTTTTCTGGTGTATCAGATGCAAGAAACCTTAAAAAGGTCACAGCAGCTCATCAATTCAATAAACTATGAGAAAACATCCAAGCCACTGAAGAAAATAGGGGGAAAAAAAAAGTCTGAAGAAAGACTTTGCTAAAAACACGTCAGTTTATTGGTTCTAGTCTCTGCGACACCAAAGGATGTGTTCTTGAGTTTATATTAAGGATTTTTTTAACCCTTATATCTACCTCCGTTACGAAAGTTTGTTAGTTTAACTAACACTGTTAGTTGACGATATTCTTTGAGCAATCTGAAATGAACACATGGCCTGATTAAAAATATTGGGATGCCACCATATTATATGAATTCGATTAAATTAACCTTTTTATAATAAATTGGGCTTGAAAAATAACATAAAGTTTAAAATGAAAGGCTTAACGATTATTAGGTTGTGTAAACTAATAAAATAAAGTATACAATAGTATTAAACTTAACATAATAATTTTTCAATAATTTTTAACATTTTATGCTTTATTTTAGATAAAGCACAAAATGAAGGGCTTAACTATTTTTTTACCATTTTTTTAGGTTCAACAAATTTTTTAATATCTTAGCTCTTTTCTTTCCTTTGGGTGACATTGAATATGAACTACTGATCCTAATCCTAAAATTGATAAAAAAAAATTAGACATTATTTAATATTGACGTAGCTTTTATAAAGTAAAAATTTAATCTTGATTGACATTAAAACTGACACGAAAATACCTCAATATATATATATATATATATATATAAAGAAGTTAATGTACCCTAATACTGATTAAGTCCGTCATTTTATATATTATTCTATTAGCTAAGTCCGATTTATTATAAAAGGATTGATTTGATTAAATTCATATAGTAGAGGGGCAACCTATGATTTTTAGCTAGATCCCGTGTTCGCATTTAATTGGTCAAGGATTGGTTAACTGAAGCCCTTAGTCAAACTAACCTAATTTCATTGTTAGCACCCGACATCGACACTTTATTTAAAAAAAAAAAAAGCTTAAAAAAGCCAAAAAAAAAATCATTTTATTCAATTTCGCTGATTTTTCAAATTTTTAGCCTTTTTGTCAAGTTTGTTACAAGTTTTATGATTTTTGTAAGTGTGGACAAAAATGATCAAGTGTAGAAAATTACGAGAAAAGAAAATAAGTGACAAAAAAAAACGAGAAAGAAAGAAAATAGAAAAAAAGAGAAAAAAATGGGGCACAAATTGAAAAAATAAAATAAAAAGAATAGGGTCCAAAGAAGTCCAATTGAATTGCTGAATTAAAACTGACAGACAAAAAATAAATAAATAAATAATGGCTAGAAAAATAATTCAAATAGTTCAAAGAAAATAACTCTAAACAAAGACTTGATTAATTGCTTGTTTAGCAATAAAGAAATAGTGGTGAAATGAATCTCGAAAAAAACGCGGCGGGCGTTGGACTTGTTGAGCTACGTCTCTTTGCCAGCTAGGGACAAAGGCTAATGGCAGAACACATGGAGTTGGAGAGAGGCTAATTTGTTTAGAATTATTTTCTTTGAACAAGTCTATTTGGATTATTTTTCCTAGACATGATATTTTTTGTCTGTCAGTTTTCTAAGTAAAATTCAACACATTTGATCTGGTGGTCAAGGAGGTTTGGTATATATTTTTTTTAACTTGTTTTTAGCAACTTAAACTAGTCAGTTTTTTTCGGATCTTGAATGTTTGATGGTTTTTAATATCCCCCCCCCCCCCCCCCCCCAAAAAAAAAAAAAAAAAAAAACAGAATCGTTCAAGAATATTTAGACATTATTCGAAGTTGAACCCTCATAATCTTCCAAAACTACCGTCAGAATCTCATAATCATCAACTATGTAGTTGCAGATTTCCTTACCAATCGAAAGCAAAAACTACTGACTCGCACTTGAAGAAAGAAAGCAATCCCGGAAAGAGAAACAAATCCACCTTTCATGAATCTTCTGCAGCATATATATCGAGCCTCTGAAATGGATTCGTCTATGCAAACTGCATGTTCTCCTTGTGTTACCGTTTAGATGATCAGAGCAAAATTGCTTGAGCAAAGAACTAACCCATTGTGTTGTTCAAAAGTTTCTCTAACGCGTAGGAAACTCTTCCGTAGAGAGAATTACGCTTCAGGATTTTTCCAATCCTTTTAGAAATATCTTGAACACATTGTCGACCATACCTACAAAAGCAAAGCAAAATACAAATTATCAGACAATAAGCATGTTAAAAAGATTGATGATTTTTCTTCCACTGGATAGTAGTACCTCTTTGATGATTCTTCTTCCACTGGATAGTAGTGCCTGTCTCGTAAAGTCATTTCTTCAGGCTGGTCTGCAGCTTCTGCAAGAGCTGCCCTCCATTCCGTCACTATACCTGCCTTGAAGTAGTTTTCATGTTTAGCAAATGCATGCCCGTATGCCCCTGTCTGCTTCTGAACTTCCGATCGATCCACATCATAAAAAATTGGCACCACAACGTACCCATCATCATTTCTCTTACGTTCCATGATCACTAAAAGCTCATCCAGGCACCATTTTGAAGCAGGGTATTTCTTAGAGAACACTATTATTGATAATTTTGAAATGTAAATTGCATTTCGGATTCTTAACCAGCTATTTTCCGATCTCTTAATCCCATTATGGTCTCTGTAAGTGCGAATCCTTGATTGCCTTAAAGCTTCATTGAGGTCAGAAGTAAATCCTTCCGTGTCTGTTCCTCCAATACTCACGAATGCATGGTCTGTAGTTCCAAACGGAGAAACTCCGAAAATAAAGACCAACGATAGAACAATGAATAGCAAGAAAACCATGAGTTTGATAACCAAGAATCTATCCCAAATAAAATAGGTAGCATCATTCCTAACTGTGTTGTTCAGTTCAATTTCAAAAACTTGGACCATATAGTTCAGTATATATCGAGTATCTTCAACTATTTCTTCAATAAATTCTACCTCAGACCACCTGCAAACCCAAATCAAATCAGGAAACAGAAAAAATAAGCACCTAATTGAAACAAAAACAATTATTTAATAATTAGTTGGAAAATCTCTATGTAGGTCCTCGATTTCGAGCAGAGAACTTGGGAATGGAGAAATGTCATACCAGACTCATGATATATTATGGCAACAATATGCGAAATGGAATCAGGAAGCGAATAGCAGAGACTAAAGAGGAGGAAAAGGAAAGAAAATGAAAATTTTCTAGGGACACTGTTATTTCATACCCGTCTTTGAAAACCATTCCGCTTATATCTGTAACTTCTCTAAGAGCTGCCCTCCATTTCTCTACTTTATGGATCTCATTTTTGAATTGCTTTTCATGCTCAGCAAACGCTTGACCATACCTCCCTGTCTGCTTCCCGACTTCAAATGGACTCACCTTGTAGAAAATGGGCACCACATAATTCATACCAATTCTCATTCGCTCCATAATCATTGCAACCTCATCGAGGCAGTATGTTGAAGTAGCATAAAGTTTAGAAAACAAGATTATGGACATTCTCGATTCGTTTATTGCTCTTTCTATTTCCAAGCAAATATCTTCCCCTCTCTGAATCCCAAACTCATCAAAGAAAGTGGGAATCCCTGCCTCTTCCAGAGCGTTGTGGAGGTGACGCGCAAAACCATTGCGGATTTCTTTGCCTCTGAAGCTCAAGAACACATCCTCATGTGTTGCAGAGAGTAGAACCAATAAACTGACGAACGGAAACAAAGCCACAAGTTTAATGAATAGCATTTTCAAAGAGCGAAAAGAACGAAGAAAAAGGTAAAGTAAAAAGTGGGAGATTTAGATTTTTGGTGAAATAGCTTACAAAACGTTAAAAGAGTCCAGCATTAATTATTTGGGATTTGTTTTTAGCGAGTCTTTCTTTAGACTTTTTTTTCTATTTTCTTCAGTAGTTTGGATGTTTTCTCGTAGTTTATTGAATTGAAGCAACTTGCTGCGCTTTTTTTAAGGTTACCTGCATATTATACGCTGGAAAATGTTTTTGTTCAGACACGGAAACTAAAGTAAACGAAGTCAACGTTGGTTTTCTATTCCATTCCCCAGCGAGCATCCTCAAGTTCCGTCTTTACACAGTGGAGATCTCACCTGGAACTCATGTAGGACCAAAGCTAATTAATGTAATCCTCATCAATATGCACCTACCTTCAAGTACAGTACTTAGCAAAAAGATTAAAAATCACATTCTGCTCCTATAATTTCATCTTTTAGTGACATTAAACCTTCTACTTTATTTTGGATCGTGCCAATTTGAAACTTTTTTAATCTTTCTATCCACTCCTGTTACAGAAATATGTTTTTGGACTGTGCCAATTTAAAACTTTTTTAATTTTTCCGTCCACTTCTATTGTGGAAATAAATATTTTCATACTTGTATTAACGTCAATCGAAATTAAATCATTACTTTTTACATTACGATAGCATTAAATCATGTCTAATTTTGAATTGATTTTAGAAATTGGATTTTTTTAATCTATCAATAGTTCATATCCAGCACCACAAAAAAGAAAAAGAAGAGCTGAAATATTAAAAAATTATTAAACCTAAAAAAATGGTAAAAGATAGTTAAGTACTTCATTTTATGCTTTATTCAAAATAAAGCATAAAATATTAAATTATTGAAAAATTATTAGGTTAAGTTTAATAATATTTATACTTTGTTTTATTTGTTAACACAACCTAATAATAGTTAGGTCTTTCATTTTATACTTTATTTTATTTTTAATTGAACCCCAATTTATTATAGAAGGGCTAATTTGATCCAATTCATACAATATAGTGGTATCCCATTATTTTTTATCAGGCCACGTGTTCATTTTAAATTGATTAAGGATTGGTCAACTATCGGTATTACTTAAATTAACTAATAGACTTTTGTAACAGAAGTAGATGAAAGGATTAAAAAATCCTAAAAATCTAAATAGAAAGATCGGCATGACCCAAAATGAAGCTTTTATAAGATTGGATATGATTAAAAATACAGCGGAGATTACTTGGCACCAACGAAGGACGATAGCTAGGTAATGTAATCGGCGTCAAGACGCTCACATTTCCAAATGCTTGTTTAATATATCATTCTCATAAAAATTTTCTAAGAACATTTTAAAAATAAAAATTATTGAAGTAATTAATAATTTTTTTTTCATGAAAATCACATAAAATTTTTTAAAAAAAAAGATAACTTCAATGATAGATATCTATCATGGAAACTTCAACCTTCTCCTTATATTTGCTTTTTCTAGAGAATCGACCTGCCGGCCCTACGAACATCTTATCATCGTAGAATTTATTCTTTTGTCATTTTATTTGCATCTTTAAATAAAAAGAACGTGTTTGATGGTTCTTTGTCTTAACCTTTTGTGATGACCTTTGCTTGATTTCCTACCCACAAAACATATTTTGCTACAAATCATCTTTTCGTAATTAATGAGATATTTTCAAATTAATTTTTGTATTAATAAAATTTAAATTTTTATATTTTAAATTAAATTAATTTCAAATAACGTTTGATGTTTAATTAATTTTAGAAGCTGTACTTTTTGAATTTGCCATGATTCACCTAACTAGCTAGCTAGATACCATGACATCATGGATCACGTCGGTGTCCACACATAGATATGAAAAATTGACCAAACAACATGGATGGATATTGATATCTTGTCTTCTCTCGTATATTATTTCTGGCTCTATATGGATTATATCATTTTTATTTAAGTTAACTAACATTGTTTCGTTGATTAACATACATTAATGGCAGACAAGAACAAAGGGTTTGGAATGGATTCTAAGATTGTAGGGGAGTTTTTTTTTTTTTAGAAATAAAAAAAATAAAAATCATGAAAAAAATTGATGAGAAGATAATACATTTTATATAAAAAAAAATATGAAATTAATCATGGTTAACATTATTAAAAAAAATTAAATAATTAGATTTTGAAATCAGGAGAACTAATTAATTTATTTTTCAAAAAGAGAGGGACTGATTTATAATTTACTCCCTTGCTTCTCATGTATGTTTTTTTTTTTTTTTTGCTCCTCGTTACCCCTCGTAGAGAGGATTTAGGCGTATAGAATTAATTGAATCCGGTTATGGGCTTATAGAATAATTGGGTCAGATTATGGGCTTGCGCTCAAGGGTTTATATGTATCAGCAAACACCATTTTTTATCTGAAGAGCTAAACTGTTAGGCTTTGGGTCTATTATTATATGTAAGCCATTGGTTTTTATGAATTATTTTCCACAGTTCATTTGAGCATTTATCTTAAGGTGGCGTTTTCTATGAGATTAGAAAAAATAGAGATAAATTATTATAGAAATAATTATTACAAGAGTAATTTTTAAAAATGTTTGTCGTATTAGTGAATTGAAGGGTTATATGTTAGTGGAAAGAGAGAAAACATATTTAAATTATCAGTGATGATCAATGAAAAACAATTAAAAGTTAATTTGGTGTTTATTTTGCAAAAGAAAAAAAAAGAAATAGAGAGATAAAAGAAAAATAATATTGATTGATTGGAGGGCAGGGGCAGTGCGGAAGCCATTGATGCTCGCATCCTGAAGATTTGAAAAAATCATTATAGTCTCCAAAGTTTGGTATACTTTTCATATTGATCCTTGTAATACTCTAATTTTCCTCCTCTAAAAAATTGTTGTCTTTTTGCTTGATATTCATTTTTTTTTTTTCAAAAAAAAAAAAAAACCCTCACACACCAATGCTCGTAGCAGAGAGCTAGTATGCTCGAGATTTAAATCCGTAATCTCTTGTAATAGACTACTATAATTGGGCTATAAGCTCTTTGGTTATTTATTATATCTTAAGGTCTCCTACCCAACAATTTCGTTCACCTTTCACCCTGGTTGGAGGATAATTTTTTTTCCAAAAAACAAAAGAATACTTAAAATCATATGATTTATATGTTTCAGTTTTAAAGTATTTAGAATTTTTTATTTTTATTTTATTTTTTTGCATCTAGGTTAAAAAAAATTTCTATTGTTGAAAAAATTAATTTGAATAATAGATTAGAGAGTTAAATATTGTTGAAGAATATGATATATTGAATTTCGAATATAAGGATAGATTAGAAATTCATGTTATTGTATAAGAATATATTAACTTATTTACTCAAAAGAAATCAAAGAGAATATTTCTTTCTTTGTATGAAATAGTGCATCCCAACCTAAAAGGGTTGGTTTAAGTGAAAAGAATTGTGATCGTTTAAATAAATAATTTTATATTCGAGTTTTTATATATGTAAAAAATTTATTGAGTAGTTGTATATGTTTTATGTATTTTATCAAATAGTGCACCCCAACCTAAAAAGGTTGGGTTAAATAAAAAGAATTCTGATCGTTTAGATAAATATATTTTAAATTCAAGTTTTTATATATTTACAAAATTTATTAAGTAGTTGTATCCGTTTTATGTATTCTATCCAATAGTAAGAAATTAATCATAATTTTTTGATCTAAAATACTTTGAGAATAAAAAAAAATAGTTTTAAACAGGAATCGAGGCCCTGGAATGAGTATAGCAAAGTAATAGTGGTAAGCACGCTTGTACCACTATAGTTTTTAACATTACTTAAAGTGGAACCCTAACTGCCCTCCTATGATCAAGCCATGGTGGATTGAGAAAAGAACGGCAACAAGTTGCAATTTTTAGGAGTGACATGTCCCATGATAGATGAGCAGGCTGCAAGCCCTATAACTTTTCGTTAAAGAATATTTTAGAATTTGATAGCGTATTAGATTTTTAAAAATTATGAAATGATTATTGATATATGGATAAATATACTGAGATTTAATGTTATGATTTATAAAAGTAATATTTTATCGATTTTAAAAAATAAATTAAATAATAAAATGTATGAAAGAAAGAATACATAGTATTAATATGGTGTAAATCAAGTGATATGCAACTAAAATAAAAATTTAAACAAATAAGATTTTAAATACTGCGAGATGAAAAAATATGAGAGAGAGAGAGAGAGAGAGAGTTTTGCATAGCAAAAATTATTCAAAAGATAAAAAATATAAAAGTCTGTGAAAATTGCAAAAGTTTCCTCGTAACTATTCAAAGCTCGTATTTATAATAGAAAAAAAAATGTTTTTTATCATTAAGATTGCACCATGTCACCCATATTTAGATAATCAAATCTAAGCTAAATGAAAAAAATTATATTTTTTTATATTAATCTGCTTTAACAATAATTAGAACTATTAATCCAACAAAATCGTCTCTCTTGTGCATCTTGAAAAAAAAATCTTTTAATTTATTATTTTAACGAATCGTGAGTTTGAATCTTTAAGATCACCTTTGCTTTGATGTCCTACCCACAAACATATTTTGCTACGAATCATCTTTTCGTAATTAATTAGATATTTTCGCATTAATAAAATTTAAATTTTTATATTTTAAATTAAATTAACTTCAAATCACTTTGATGTTTAATCAATTTTAGAAGCTGTACTTTTTGAATTTGCCATGATTCACGTAGCTAGCTAGCTAGCTACATACCAAGACATCATGGATCACGTCAGTGTCCACACATAGGTATAAAAAATTGACCAAACAACATGGATGGATATAGATATCTTTGCTTTGGTCCTTTCCAAGTTATCAATCTTGTCTTCTCTTACATAATATTTCTGGCTTTATGGATTATATCATTTTTATTGAAGTCAACTAACATTGTTTCGTTGATTAACATACATCAATGGCAGACAAGAA